GCGTTTCAATTGTCTGCGTTATCAAATAAAGGCATGACGTCATGTAGAAAACATAAGAACTTGGCAAAATTTTTAGTCGCACTTCCCGCGCGGAATACGTTCACGTGATTGGCTCTTCCAGAAGGAGCCCTCCGCTGCACTGCGTCTCCTGTCACGAGTCATAGAAGTAATCAAAGCCTTTCTCGTCAACATAGACTTGAAGGGGGCCCGTGGAGGTCTCTTTTTACGGTGGGTTGGAGTATTTTAATATATTTCCCACTCATCCAGTCCAGTCTGATTCCTTATCATTTTCAAATCGACGCAGTAATAAAGGACTGAGATCCCCCTACACATAAATCCACGAATGCCTTGCCTCTCCATCTTTAGAACCCCTCAAAAGTCGATAAAAACCGATTGCCACTGTTTTTTTCTTCAAACGTGGACCAAGAAAACGGCTTCTGTATCGTTAGATTAATGAGGAAGATACTTAGATTTTATAAGAAAACATTCTCAGCTCTCTCCATTTTTTATTTACGCCAAAACATTTTCAAGTAATTGAACGAGCGAAGAATACCAGGCAATTTTCTCAGGGCTATGCGCGTTCGTCAAAAAATTTCCCGAGAGAAACAAACCGGTTAAGGGTTAACCCTTTACTGGTCACGTGGGGTACAGGCGATCCTACGCTTGTTTATCCTACTCAAGTGCGCCCAAATTGACGCGACGAGATAAGTGGTGACATTCCATGATAAGTGGCGACATTCCGTGCGGGACAGCAAGTCCCGCACGAAGAGAAAGCAGTCCTAAGAGAGTACACTTAGAGAAATCAGTAAATCGAGATGAAATACTTCTCTCAATTTTCGCGTTTCGATTTATTTTTCTCAAGAGAAAAAGACATCAACTGGATTTTCGATTTATATCTCTCGCTTCCCGACCGTGCAGAGTCGCCTGAAAGGCGTTCGTAAAACCAAAATGCGTCTATAGCCGAGTCGGAAGGGTGTTTTGAGTGGCCTAGCATCGTCTAGACACATGTTAACCTCCGTATTCCACTTCATCGTGAAGAGGAAGCCCCCTCCCCCTCCCTCCCTCCCATCCCCCCCATGAACCCTCGGGGCAATGCATTGACAGCCGAGGGATTCACACGCAACCGCCTGAGTGCATGGCCTCTTCGCCACTTCACCTTCCCTCCGACCCGTGCGAGTAGCTCGTGCGTCTCGAAGGGATTCCCGTGTAACCGCTCAGTTCATTCTTCGAGTCCAGTTTCATACGGTGTTTGTATTCCGTTTGGTGTGCTGGTGGTGCAACACGTATCGCCAATATGAGATCCGACTGTTAACTATAGATATTTAACAGTCCCTTAAGAATACATGGATTCCTATGGGAGAAAAAGAGCTCCTTCGCTAAAAGCCCCGTTGTCTCCCCGAAATGAGGTTCGTGTATTCGGGCTTTAAGCTCAAAAGCCACTATATTCCCACAATAGGACATGCAAGGCAAATTTTGATGTGACTGAAGTTCATCACGAAATGTTCAATGCGGCAGAAGCGCATAATATACCTGACCCATACACGCAGAATCAAATTAATGCATTTTCGTCGAGAAAAAAGTTGTGCTCCATGTGATGCGTTTTTATCGCATCCAACATTTGATGCGATAACCGTATCCAAAATTCGATGCGATAAAGACGCATCACATGCAGGTCAGATTTTTTCGCGAGAAAAATGCATCGAACTGAGGCACTGAATTTTCTGTGTGTATGGAGACGGAAGAGACGAAATATGCGTCATATAACCTGTATAAATTTTCTATATATTCAATCTGAGCCTGAAATTTACTTCCTCTATCTTCCCTTAGTAAAGGAACATTCCGCCTTTGCCTGTAAGGAAAAGGCGGAATGTTCATATGTATCGAGTTACATATGAAATATGTATCTCGATATATATTTCATTCATGGACATATGAGGCTCCCTTGGCCTTATCAGAAAAAAGGCATCAGTGTTAAACATTCCCTTTCACGTCACTGAAAAGCAATTCAAGAGAGAACGAAGAGCAGAATAGCTGTTTGTTAAATAAAGAGCTGTTGTCTTTGGCGAAAAGAGTCATACCAAATTCGATAAGTCAAACCTGACTGAAATGGATGAGCTGTTACTCCAGATTGTTATTTTCGTTGGCTGCTGAGTTATGTCGATTGTACATCCTCGAATTTGTTTGTCCACGGACCGTCTTTCCCTGGGAAGCGCTTCGTCGTTTCAGAGTTAGCTTCCAAAACTGAAAAATATGCCTTTTAAGACGATAAATCCGAGTTATTGCTATCAGGAAGTTCCCGTTGAATTTGCCAGTTTTTTATTTTTGCTGCTTGCTTTTCAGGGTGGCACGGGTGGAGGAATCGCCTGAAAACTCCCACTCTTCCCAAACTTTCTTATTATTGAGATGGCAGATCTTCGACGAGGCGCCCCGAAGGTTGTGTCAAATGTGATTTTTTTTTTGCTTCTGAATCATGTTAATGAGAATAGATTAGCCCTAGAGTGACTGCACGTTAAGGTTCAACCATGACAATGCTTGAATTGAATGATGAAAGGTATTGCATCTGATGTCACTCTGCAGTGAAAAGTTTGTAAGACAATCCTTCCTCGGTGCCATAGTTCACCATCCTCATCCTTAATCTTCTAAATTGTAAAGTATTAATGTAATACAGCCTAGAAGAACCAGACCTCACATTTGTTCCATGCAGTAAACATATTTATTGTCCTCATTAGATACCCTGCTCATCTTGCAGAATGATCATATCAATCAAGGGTCGGTCAAAAAGTAATGGACAATACTTTTTTTCATTACTTTTTTTTCGCGTGGCACGAAATTTAATTTCCCAAACCTTTGTGAATACTTTCTTATTTTTCCACGCATTCCCTGTCATGTTCAAGGCAATTTGTCCCATACTTTGTGAGGGGCCTGAACTGCATCACAGTAAAACTCCTTTTAGTTTGCATGAAGCCTTTTCTTGACAGGATATTGGACTACTTCGTCCCCTCCGAATGATTTACTCATGAGTCTATAATTGAGGGCATCAAAGTGGTGATAGTTTGAGGGTACAACGTCCGGAATATAAGCTGGGTGGGACAGCACAGGCCAACCGAAGGAAAAGGCCTCAGTTGTTTCTCTACTGGTGAGAGGCCCTGCATTATTGTGATGCCAGCGCATTTAAGATTTGTTGAGGTTCGTTCGTTTTCTATTGATGTGACTTTTCGGCTTCTTGAGGGTTTCAATGCAACGTTTCGAGTCCATTGTGGTGTCTTGTTCCATGAAGTCCACAAGGATATCCATGTGTTCCCTTTGGGACAAGGAAATGTTCCATGTCCCAAAAGAAATTCGGCCATGATTTTCCTGGCTGATGGTTCCACTTGGAATTTCTTCCTTTGCGAGCCCTGTGATGCCACTCCATGGATAAGCGATAAGCTATTAGCGACACTTGCAGAATTCTCCAGGAATTATGTTATACAGGCCGTGCATGTTTCCCAAGTCTCAAATATGCTGTCTGAATGTTTATTAAAATATGTTGCTTGTGATATACGAATAACCGGTAAAAATCGGAATGCCCACATTGCACCTACAGGAGGTGGTCATTATCCGTAGTGGTGAAAATTAAAATTAGCTGTCAGTCATTAAAATACCAGTGCAATGATGAGTACCTAACTTTATAGTACATAACACAAATTTCTCTTTATCTGCCAATTTGCATCTTGGACCGGAAAATGGACAAAATGTCATGCAGCTCCCTTGCTAGAGGTTGCTCTTACAAGAGCAACATTGGAAACTAATCGTATTTTTCGTATGTCTCTCTAAACAGCAATTCAATAAAACATGAGCAGGTGGTAATACCATCTGCTACCCTATATCAAATGAATGGTACGAAGAGTAAGGTGATATTGCGTTAAATATACCCTACTTTTCTGATGTCATACAAGAAGTCAAATCTGCTGCACGTTGCCCAAGTGTGTCGTCTCTCACCTGCATTCATAAGGTCGTGGATTGCGGTTATCACGGGGAGTAATTGAAGTGTGGCATTCTCCCGGTCATGCGTCATTCTCGCGATTAGCGCGCTGAGGAGTATTCTATGGGATTTTAGCTGTGGTGGCAGTAGTGTTATGGAATCTGGTTAAAATTCGCTTTTCGTGGACCGATATCATCGGTAATTATAAAATCGTTGGGATGTCGGGACACGCTGGGGATTTCCATACTTGCCTTACTCTTCATTCATTTACCACTTAATACACGTCTTAGTGCTCTTGGCATTTTTTTTACTTGGAACTATTGCTCTGCTTTTCTTTGATATTGTCTCAACATTTTTAACGTTAAGTCTTACAAAACTGCCACGCATTGTTTTGAAATGGTTCGTGGCGCACCATAGACAGCGGACAGCCAATGGTTCATTGTACCCTAGTTTGACGTGTTTAATTCCACGCGTGAGAAGAAAAATTATCATTATGGTAATTGCACCATTTCAAAGGTTAGCACAATAGTGTGCCACGAAAAAACTGGTTTTTGTTCTGAACCCCCTTTTTGTAAACTTCGAATTATTCATACTTTCTTCGATTTCTCTTCAAATTTCAATGAAATTTACTTATACTTTAGTAAACTTGTACTTGTTTGAGAGGACATCTTTCGTTAATTTCATGACAGCAACTTCCATTCTCGAGGTGATGGAGCGGTTGGTCCATAATGGTCCTTAATGCCTCTCTTACTTTTGTCATATCTATGCATGTGCATATGAATATTGTAGTGAATTATAACTTATGTTTGTAAATGAAAAGATGGAACTAAGGTATTTCCATAATTTTTCATGAAAAGCAGGAGAATGATCTTTTTGTAATGAAAGCAGTGTGACAAAAATACACATTTTAAAGTGGACCTTTCTTCCATAGGAATCTGATGCAACATGCAAGAACTGTCGGGAGTTTTCACACCTCGGACACCTGCAAAGCTACGCAAGAATAGGAACCTTGGACATTAGGAACTACCTGAAAATATACATGGGTGCAGGCAATGAGAGACCCTGGAATGAAGCAGCAAGTGAGTATCTGGGACAACACTACCCTGAAGCGTACACCAAGGCATATTCCCTACCTGAGGGGTACATTTTAAGCAATAAAAATTTCAATGAGCTGAGGAGCAAGGCCATCAAAGGTTTGGAAGACGTAAACATGCCTCTGGATCAGGTGTCAGTTGTCAAGGTGTTCAGTATGCTCAAAGATGCATTAAAGGATGCACCCTCTCTCACCCTTGCTGATTACGCCTTCACAGACACATTGCTCAAGGGCGTCAAAGAACAGCAAAAGAAGGAATTCGAGAAGTTGGGGGTACCCAAAGAATATTTGGAACCAGGTGACCATGATGTATTTGGAGTAGGATTGTCTGGTGAGGAAGTCGTGGGAATCTTTTTTCAAGTCAAAGGAACAATGAGGGCAAACCGCAAAACAATCCTGAAAACCCTCGGTAGAGCCATTCAGCAAGTTCGCAAAGACATACGTATTTTCAAGACCGTTTGCGGCGAATTCTTAGCATCACATGTGAAGTTAGCCGGTTTCGCCGCGTTCCCGATGCTTTCAAAGGCAGATTTACAAAATGACATCAAGTGCGAAGACTGCAGAGCACGAATCCTCACCTCGGAAGATTTGGATGCAACGGACAGTTTCAAAGCATTTTTGTCTCGCCACAGAATCGAATTGAAGAAGCCGTGCTGCCACGGTATCATGGAGTCCCCCATCATGAAAACCTTCAGGTACATATTCGACCTTTACGTTTGTGCTGCATCAGCCGTGGACCTTCCACGCAGCTTCAAACAGTTGTCCAGGAGGAGCGGAGAACAAATGGAGAAAATGATCGTCATTCTTACCCCCCAACAAAGGGAATTAGTGAAGAGCGATTCGAAAATGCTTTTCATTTGCGGAGCACCAGGGACCGGGAAGACATTCGTGATCAAGAAACGGGCTCTCCTGTTGGGGGAGACTGGTGAGGTGCTGCTGATTAATGTTGCTGGAGGACTCCTCACCACAGAGTTCCAAGAAGAATTCAGTGGTAAGATAACTCTAATATCTGTAAGTTAGTTAAGTTAGTTATAAGTATCTGTTTTTACTTAGGGATTAGAGTTTTAAACTGCAATGGGGCTTCCACTTCCACATAGATCAAGTGATACCATTTACTTGATGTGATCGTGATCGGTACCAAGGAGATGAGAACGTGTTGAAGTTTGCTTAGCATTTCAAACAGCCTTTAATGAAGTTCATGATGGAGGGAAATATAATGTTAAATCCAATCATGTTGTCGTACGCTGGCAACAGTAACTCAATTAAACATATACAATTGGCTTTTGCTGATGTGGATATTCCATAGAGGCCGTATTTGCTGAAGCGAATTGTTTCATCAGTGACCAAACATTTTGAAAATGTGATTTCAGTTAATAAAATCACAGGGCGCCAGAAAGCAACTCGTTTATAGACATTGTTCCCGTATTGGAATAGGTTGTACGACTGTAACACTAGTAAATGTGGTGGGGGAAGGAGGAAGTGACCGACAGATTGGCACAATTAGAGGGAACCAAATATTCCACAATCAAAGCTCTTCTTTTGTGGAAAGACACTTCTGTAGGGAAGCCTACTTTCATCATACCGCCTAGATATAGCGTAATTCGATCGACTGCCTGCAGATACTGGGTGACCAGCCCATCCCAACCTCGTTGAGCCAACTACCCCCCGCCTGCCCAGCATCGGCTGGATAAGACGCGGGTTAAAGCCTACGATGATCGGTGGGCCCTCAACTACGTGCTAAGCCACTCTGCCGTACCCACAACGATCCCGCTCGGGCGGACAGGGACCCACCGCCAGGCCAAAAGTAGTGTGCCACCTGAGTGTGCAGAACTACCTATCGAATATTCATTGAGGAAGACTTATTATTAGGTACACCTGATGAGACTCGAAGGATACAGATTGACAAAACAGATGGCACAAAAGCTTTCATTATGATTCGGCTTAAGGTGCCTAAATTATAAAGGGAAGTTCGAACAATTCATACAGCTTTTACTTGTATATATTAACCGATGAAAAAAGTGGGAAAAGCTATACGAAATTGCGATTCGGAACAACGACACTAACCCGCGATCTTCCATAACAAAACATACATGTGATTCATCCTCAAATTATGAATATGTTAAAGTAATGTTATTTCGTACCATTGTGTAAAGATGAAAGTGCTGATGCAACGGCGCTTGCATGCCAAGGGACAATACTTTAAGGGACCGTAATCCAAAGGTTTCCACTGTTTTCTGCTTTTTGAAATAAAGCCTTGGTAGCAGAGCTACCAACTTGATGCAATGGTAGAACGAGTGGTAGCCCACTTTAACTGCATAAACCGCAAGTGAGTGTAAGGTCGCGTCAGATCTCATTTAATATTTACTTTTTGGGTGGTGAATGCGTGGAATGAGTTGAGCGACGATGTAGTGGCTGCCCCTTCCGTGACTACCTTTAAGAGAAGGTTAGATGCCCTCATGAACAAATAAAAGGGAGCAATAAATGTGAGTGGATAGGCACTGGGTGGGATATGTAATGGGTGACGAGGGCTAAATATGCTTCTAAATAAAATCTATATTTGGGAGGGTTGGTCTACCTTACGGTAAGGAGCGCTCGACCTCGGCAAAGGATGTGCTCGATGGGCAGAACTGCCTTTTTGCATTCCTACGCATTCCCTTGTATATTTTGAATCTTGAAAGGAAACATGCTTTCTTTAAGTTATTAATTACCCAAATTCCCCTAAACGCGTTCAATATATATTGATTCTTTTACGGCTCCCTGACAGAATGTGTTCTTCAGAACCTTAGCGCAACTGAGAAAATATATTTCGACTCCCAAGTAAAAGGCTAGAAAGGTACATGGAAAAAAATACGGCCGAAAGAACGCCGTTGGGGTGTCAGCTTTTCGGTTATCCCATGTTGCTTAATCCAGGTAGACTCATTACTTCTAGTCAATCTCTATGCTTTCATGCGGCACAGCAGAATGATCAGTTTTCAATATGAGCATGGCATCATGTATGGATTGTAGTGGGTGGGAGGAGAATGGTTATATGAGCATAGACCAATTTTCCTTTCATTTCTTCAAAAGCTCGAGGGACGAACTTCCGCGTTCTCTGGGTACCTGAATGCGTTGCAGATGGGAAAGTTGGTATCATTAAAGAATTGCTCTTTCCTTTCTGGGACATATTTTAAGAAGAATCTGCTTGCGTCTAAACTCTGTTTAGACGCAAGCATCATTTCCCCCATTTGTTAACGAACATCGCTAGCTGCAGTTCCTCCATATATTTGCCAATGACTGGATTTCCAGCTTGAAAACCGGCGCCAATGCTCGGAGCTGCATAATTAGTTGGAAAAATATAAATATTGTTTTACGAGAGTTTCATTTGGGGCGCTGACGCTAGTACAATGTTGTCAACCAACTGTCAATGGGGATTGAATGTTATGGATAGCTTGGTGCGCTGCAAAGAAATTCAGTTACAAAATTGATTTAATGTGAGGTCATGACATGCTGAATGAGTTGAAGGAGGCTCTTTATTTCTGTGCCAACAGGCAACGCGAATATCCAGATCATCGATGGGAGGAAGGAAGGCCTGGAGGAGGACCTTAGAGCATTGAAAAAGTATATTTCGAAGGAAGGGAAAGGGAAACATGTTCTCATGGATGAAGTCCCCATCACGATAGGATTCCAGGACATCATCACTCCAGAGGCCCTTTCCAAGCACTGGGAATGGATCGCGGATCTGGAAAATGATGCGAAGTCAATCACTGTTTCCTTCAGACCTAATGATCAGACTTACACAAGGGATTTCCCCCTCGAGGACATGAAGCTGGCCGAATCATGTCACATCACCATTCTGAATAGAGTGAAAAGGAACACCCAACGTATATCCGGTTTGTTCACGGCCATTGGAAACTTCTCTAGACGCGTTTTTGTGTCGTCTGAGCGTTCCACGGTGATGGACGTAGAGGAATCCAGTGATGGATTCCTCCCCCGCTTATTCACGATTCTCTCTTGTCAGGCTCTTCATCGCAAATGCAAGAACGAGCAGATCTGTGAGTCTGTGCGGGCCTCGCATGCCATTCACGCCATTCATGAGCAATGCTCCCAATCAACGACGAATCCTATCTTCGTTGTGGTTGATACCGAGACGAGAAAGAACGCTCTTGTGAATATATTTTCATCCTCGTATGATTCCCTTCCTTTTCTTTTTCGTTCTTCCTATTATAGCTCTGACGGCTCTGGTGACTCTGACAGAGAGAAATTCCGTGGGAAGCCAGCCCCAAACGGCTCGAACCACCTTGTTATTCTCACCGAAAAAGAAGTCATGGGATATCACCCAAAGAACCTTATGGTGGTAGTAGATTTCCCGCTTTCGCAGTGGATGAACTACAATCGATTAATAGCTACCACTGGTCCGGAAAACAAAATCATACTTATTGAGGATGAAGAGTTGAGGACAGGGAGATTTTCCCGCATCACAAAGGAAATACAAGGATGGACCATCGAGGACAGAATCATGATAATTGACGAAAACCTTCACCAAAGACTTCAGGCAGCATTTTCAAAATACGCCGAGGAATCAATTCATCAAATTAAAAATATTGAGGAATTCCCTCTTCAAGCATTTCCTGAAATAGATATGTTCCAAGGTGAAAGGATGGAGGATGGCAATGAGGAAGTACAGAAAATATTCATTGGTTCTGAGAATGATTCAGAATATATGGTAGGACCTAGGTTGGTAGGCATATTCGGTTCCCCAGCGTCGGGAAAATCCAAATATGTGGATCTGCTGATCAGACAAATTACGAAGCGTCAGGTTCAAGTCCTTCTTCTCCATCCCGAAGACCGGTTGACTTCGCAATTATTTCGGATGCGATGGAGAAATAATCAGAATCTGGGTATCGCATACTTTCCTTCAAATGAAACCACCTTAACCAAAAATGAAATCAAATCCCCCCAAGACATCATCAACCATGTGATGAATGTGATAGAAACTTGGAGGAAGGAGGGTTCTCCGTTTCTGGGATCCACAAATACATTAAGATCGATAAAAAGAAGGGATGGAATAAGGAGTAAGGAAGAAGAAAGTCCTATGGTCGTCATCGTCGAGGATTGCCCGTTGTTCGAGGAGTTCGGAGGATTTATGAAAGAACTGAAAACGATTAACATCAACTTGATCCTCGCCTTCGAACCTCATTCGAAAGACGCCATCTCGGTGGAGGCAGCCGTGAAATTTATGGAAGGGAACTGTGAGTGCAGAGCGATTGTTCTTGGGTCACAGCCTACCAACAAGTCTCTTGTAAAGCATATTCAGAAAAATGAGACACGTAACGCTCTGAAGTTGAAAGCGAAGAGTCTTTCTCTGTCTTCCGAACCAGCTGTCATTGTCCTTGGCTCAGCGGTTCGATATATCCTCTATGAATGCTCAGAGCAACATTTTGGGTACAAGTGCAAAGGAAGTAATTATTGCATTGATTGTGTAAGAGTAGCAGCTTCTGTCTCCCTTGTCGCTCCTCCAGAGGCAACAGACGACCAGCTTTACATCCTGGCTTCAGATGAAAACCTGCTCGCATCCTTAGGAACTCTGAAAACCTGGTGTGGTGTCAGAGTGGTACATCCGAAAGACTTCCGTGGATGCGAGGCTTCAGCCGTCATTGCTGTGAATGTGAGTGACGAGTGGCTGCTAGAAGTGATCTCCCGCTCCAGGACTCAACTCATCATCATTGACACCCTCTCAGACCATGAAGATCTCTGGGATTCCATGAGACAAGAACAGCGTGTGGAAGTTCTTAGCGGAAACTTTCCCACGGGCATAGAAGACAGAAAAGTCCTCCTGACTCTAGATGAGGAGAAAAAGTTTCTTTGGGTATGCCACATCTCTTTCCTCCAGAACCTACCTCATGTCGCCTATATCAGCTTAATTAACTATAATGTGCTCTTTGCTTTCGCTTTTATTATAATTAGTTTTAAAATGAACCATGGCATACTGTAAGGGAGCATGAACAATAGTATTGTAAAGTCGGGGATTGAATTAAGAGTAGAATAACTGCAGCATCTTAAAGGTAATCGAAAGTTGCACCCTCGGACGTAAAATGGAGTAAAAGGGTCATTTTTACGGTATTTTTCTGTTAAAATAACTATGAACCATCTCCATCGCATCCCAAAATGCTTTTGCTAGAAATCATGTGATTCGGCTTAATACCCATTCCGTCAAAGTCTGTTAGTATAGTTTCGTTATGAGGAAACTTCCTTTCCCATTCTTTAGATTTTTATTATACTAATTTTGGAAATTTCATAACCTAATAATGATTGATATCCCCAGCTTTTACGTATTGATCAGAATGCCGTCATTATCTTAAGCGAGTTTTGCAAGGTATATGTCTTGATTAAATCTCATCAGTGCCCAATGTACTAAATGACCCTAACCTTTTTTCACTTTTCAGTATAAAAAAATTGTTTTTTTAAATTGGTTCTTTAAAAATGGTTTTTCGAGATCTATACTTTTTCACTTTTCAGTGAGAAAAGGCTAATTCTCGAAAATTTCTTGAAATATTCCTTGATGAATTTTGCTACACATGTTCTAGGTGGTTGGCAAAATATGTGAATCAAGTCTCATAGAGATCCCAGAAGGTGTATACATGCCAAATGCGGTCAAGGTTCAGTAGAGATATTGTATACATTATTATCCATTGAAATAACACCAATCATTATAATACCATCGGAAATTGCAGAAACAAAATATGTCAAAAGGAAGGACCTATAAAGTATCCCTTTAGCTCGACTAGAAAGGAAGTTATCACCATATTGAGGGATAGAGGTGCCCTTGGCCACAAAAAGGCAACATTTTCTTTAGGTTTTTCAAATTCAGGTATCATGGACTGGAAACAAAAAATATGCATGGTGTTTTACTATCCCAATGGTACGGAACATTGAGGGAAATTTCATAACAACTGAAGAAAGTCATGTTTTGTGGTGTGTTGGTTTGACTTGGAAAGAGCAGGGTAGGGGGGGTATAGTAAATTTGGGTAATTTGGCCTTAGGGGTAGTACTGTGCACATTGGCTATACAAATAATCAGTTTCTATGTATTTCATTATCTTCGCGAACGAGCGCAGGTTACTTTGCAAGGTGTTCCCCTCGCTATGGGGCCTATAAGTTTTCACGCCGTGAAACTGGTGAAAGCGGTGAAATTGTTACTTGGTGATCCTCATGCTACAAGTCAAATTGGCGTTACTAAGAATATGTTCTAAGACACCTTTTTTTAAGGTGCCATTGCCAAAGGTGTGGGAATTGAACCCATGAGAAAATGAGTTTCACCGCATTTCTAGGGGTGAGCATCGAAAACGGATGCCTTAAACTGAAATGCATAAGTAATTTCCTTAGATCGCAGAGCGCCGAAGGCGCGTCCATAGCGAGTTTGCTTGCCCGAAGGGCAAACAGACTTGCTAGTATGCAATAAGGGTGACCTTGCGCGAAACTGTTCTTGCATTACAGACGCCAACCTGGGACAAGACGGGGGAAAGGATTGGAGAGGAGGCATTGAAGAAAGAGGGTTTCCTCGACCAGAACACTGGAGGATTATTTTGTCTCTCTGACGAGCCCGTGGACAAAATTTTACCCTCACCCCCCTACCTCGACCCGTTCGCCGCATGGGGGTATGCGTGGGGGGGTAAGTGGAGGATTCCGAAGAAATGCCACATCCTTTTTTCATGAATATGGCGTGAATGGATATAGATCCTATATGCTGCTTCATATCCCACATGTCGATCAGGTTTTGAAAAGGAACCCTCATTTTATAAGAAATACAAGAGTTTTTTGGGTTTTATTGGCTCAATCGAGTTCACCTGAACAAACTAAAACTGTTCAGTGCCAAAGTCGATTAAATCGAAAATACAAATATCGCTTACAAATACAACAGTCGAAAAGCTGGCATTGAAAGGATTGAAGTTAGAGAATACGCTTTTCTCATCAATATCATTAAAATGCCAAAGATTGCATTCAGGTGTCAGAATATAGGATGCGAGCATAATGTGGAACTGATTCTACCCAGTAACTCCTCTTTCCTCTCTCCAGGAAACCCAGGGGAAGTGTCTCAGATTGGCGACGGAAAGAGAATTATTGAGTTCCTTGGTCTGCGGGGAGTAAAGTGGGAGCCAATGTACTGGCCCCCAGTGCCATTAAAGGTTCGAAGTAAAGGGACTGGACTCCTGGAGTCCCTTTCTATTGTTCTAACTGGGTCGCTGATGCATCTTCCTCTCCTCAAGGTCTGTACTTGCCATTTCTTTTCACGTCATCATTTCAATTTTTACAGACGTGTTGTGAAAGGTACCGAACAAAGGGAACATTTTCGGGGAAAGATTGTTTAGCGGCAAATTGATGAATTTACCACGCTTGAACGAGAAATCTCAAGTAAAGAATGACGTCAAATTTCCAGATGTAATTCTACGCTAAACGTTTTTTCTTAGACTTATACAGTTTTACCACTTTGGAAAGTTCTCGCATCGAAATGTTTCAGATGAATTAATCATTTTCTGAGATCGTGGAGAGCCGAATGCACGACCATTGAGCGCTTGCCCAATGGGTGAACAAATTGGCTTCATAGGTTTTCTTGACGAATTTGGGCAAAAGTCGTTTAAAATTCGGAAGCACTCGTGTCTCGTCCCCGTTTTCCCTCCCAATTTCCGCAGGTGACTTCGATTTCAGCATCCGCCGTTTCAATTTTTGCAGCGCAAGGGAATCTCCTGTTTTTGACAATTAACATGAGTATGGCGAAAAGGAAATGAATCTTTATTTGAAATTCTACGTTTCAGAAATCCTTTGAGGAGCTCCTAGGACATATACACATGACTTGGCCACCAGTTGAACCAGTTTATGTCATCATGGATAGTGCTAGACCCCACAAAAGAGTCTCCGTCGCAGATGGCTTTCCTAGCGTTCACGTGACGTTTTTGCGGGCATATTCTCCTTTTCTGAATCCGACAGAACATGACTACGAAAAGTGTTCACTGAGTGCAATACATTTGTGACAATGATTAGAAAATGGAAATGACGGAAACTTTCCTAATGGGTGAGCTTGATTCAACTTTATATTCCTCAGCTAATAGCGAAGCAATTGACAAGCAGCTTGTGTCAAGCAAAAGAGAAAAGGCATTGCTATCGGGAGAGAGTATTGAGTTTCGGATACCATGTCTTGTTGAAGAATTACGACAGCATGAAGTTAAACCTAGGAAGCGTTACCACAGTTTACGTCGTCACTATATACCTGTATTTGTTCGCTCCACCTTGCTACAGGAAGGCATGAGCAAAAGTGCCTTCTGACCTATTTTTCCGAACCTTGAAGCAAAGATTGCGTTTCCTGTGAGATGGAAAGACTTGGTATTGCTACTTTGACAGAGGCGGATGTAGGATGATTAGTGGATGTGGTGTGGCGGTGGGGGAGCCGAAGGTCTTGCTGAAAGGTTGCTTGTGGCTTTGTTGTTATAATGCTTCGCAGTTTAAAAAAAGAAGCGAGGCTCGCAGGCTAGAATAATTCTTACCAGGTACGTGATTATCAAGGGAGAGTCATAAACATGTGAACAGTCCATGAATTGATATATATATTAGTGAGTTTACCAAGTGTGCTGGGATTTATGTAACTTAGAAACCGTCGAAGAGAAATATCTATTCAATGATTATTTTGTCACGAGTTGGTGCCGACACTGGCTTCATAAATTTTCATGATATGGATATCGTATATATATATCCGTCATTCGTACCTGCAATACTCCATTTCAAAGAGCCTTCGGATTGACTGGAATTTTTTTTTGGAAATATCATACAGTTTGTCATGCACTGTCTTAAGCTTTTGGTTTTTACGAGGTTCTGTAGTGTCTTAAACTTTATGTCCTTTGAAAATTGAAGTTCAAGTTGCGTTGTAATTAATATGCTTACAGAAGAGACTGAAGGACGAGTATCACTCCAGTTCACCCGAATTGAATGTCTCAGATGAAACTGGTTCAATGGAAAATGGTGGTTTGCAGTTCAGTACATTGGAAACTCTTCTTCATCAGATTCAACTGGCAGCAACTATTCTCCGGAGACCAATAGTACTCTTTGGAAATAAACTATCTTGTGAGTCCCGCCAACCTTACCCTTCCTTTCTCCATAAAGAACAAATTCATTTTGTGATTCATTTATTTGACATAACTCTTTCGAAAGTATGTCCAATCAATCATCCCCGTGCCTTCAACGCCGTCAAATATGAGAAGACCAAGAAAAAGAAAAGACACTAAGGATGAACGAGGAATTTTTAAGGCATTCTCAGAATCCCTAGATATCTAAAGAACTAAAACTAAATATCTAAAGAAGCTTGACTTACAGAGCATAAGGTCCTCATGGAGCCAAGCAAGAAAGGATTGCTAGATCAAAGTCAAGGGGATTTTGAATCTTTTTTTATTCCAGGAAAAGCTTTCTGACTATTGGAAACGAATCTAACAACCTTCCTTCATTCCCTACCTAAGTTTTAAAATGCCAACCCACTCTCCCCAGCGTATTTTTTGCAGAGAAACTTTCAGAATCTCGTTGGTTCATCTGTACATATATGCCCACAAGAGGTTTTGAAAAATTCACAAGCCTTAGCATTCATAAGGTGCGCAGGTACAGAAGGTAAGGGTTCTCTTTTCAGCTGAATATTTATTATTTATATATTTCCTGACAGAAAAATGTGAAAATAAGGGCTTCAATAATAAACCGGAGTTTAGCGAAGTCTTGCTCCCCAATCCAAATGCGATAAAACAAGACAAAGCAGGAAACAATGATATTCCCAGATACGTTAGATCTCAATTCTACCTTGCATAGCTCAATGCATGCCCTGGCAATCATATTTTGGTATTAGACATAATATTGCCATGGAGAACTTATCTTGACATGTCTTCGCACTATTCTTTACGTTTGTGTGCTGACAGCTTTTCAAAGAAAATGCGAGAATCAGCGCTTACATGCATCACCCACTCATGCAGAAGAAAGGGCTGGATCCTTGCTTATCGCCAGCCCATTTTTTCAACATTCTCTTTTAATTCCTTTCTTCCCTCATTTATTTCATCAATCCACATGAATTCAGACTAATTACTCATTCTGTTCTTGCAAATTGCATTACTGAAATCTCCCTTCACCTGCCAGTTCCATCACATTTAAGAATTGGCAAATTTGCCACATCTGGTGATAATAGCATATCCGCATTTTTCTCGTTCGATAACTCGTTATAACAGTCACTCATTTCCAGTGCCTGAATTCGTATTCGGGTCCAGGAGTGATTCCCGCGGGGACCACGTGCTACTTAATGGCCACTTAAAGTAAGAGAAATGAATATGTATTCCTATTTCATGGTAATGCATTCTTACGGACCCATCTTCTGTCCACGTTATTTATAAAGATGAATAAATCTCTAATCATGCCCTATGCCAGTGCCCCTGAACTGCTAGTACATGAGTAGGTTGAGATCCCTATGACCGACAGTGAATTGCTCTAAGTATATAAATAATGGATTTTCAGATAATTATGATCCATGTACTTTTCTCTGCTGGTCATCAATCACCTCATGTCTGAGGAGCCTTTCACCTTTTTTGCTTTGGACCGACCATGCTGCATTGTCTTGAAGGAGGTACTAGTCTCCCCTCCGCCACTTTTCAGGGCAGTGACGGCGGCGTATTCTATCTCGTAGTCTCCGCAAAACTTCCGGTGAAATTATTAGTTCACATTTTGACATTGAGGCCCAAATTCCTAATGCATGATCCAATTTTGATTTTTAAAACCAATGAACATACCCTTGAGTTTTGATTTCTGCATGCGAACCTTTGCGGTAAGTTTGGGCTTTCCCATTGTGAATTCTGCCTTTTGGTTTTGGGTCGTCAAACACCAAAGTCTCATCCTTGGTGTTAATGGAGTCCAATAAGTTTTAGTCTCTCTGAGAGATGGTCAGAAGGTCTCTTCGTCTTTTGATCACTTGTGAGCAGTCCTGGCACAAACTTTGTGCACCATCCTTTCATCTTCAATTTTCTGAAGGAATGGAATGACAAATTACATGTGAATGTTCACAATATTAGCGAGTGCGTCAACCGACTCTCTCCTGTCTTAGCGAACCAAATGTTGAACTTGATTGATATTTTCTTCCGTTGATGACCTGCCACTTTTGTCATAATCATTCACATATTCACGACCCTCACAAAATCTGTTATGCAATTTAAAAATTCCTGTCTTTCGCATTGCATTCTATGAATAAAACTGTTTTAACATTGCAAGAGTTTCAAAAGGCGACATCCCAAATTTCACACAAAGTTTGATGTTGGCACATTCTTCGTTTTCTAGGATAACTCGCCGCGCGCCAAACTAGCAATAACTGGTTTTGATTGAGCTTGAGTTAGTCTGAAACCTGAAACTCTGTGTGCGCAAACCTTTAGGAAAAGAATAAGGATGGTTGAAGGTCAATATTAGGTCAAGGCTTATTCGAATGCCACTCTCTCACTAATTTAAAAATAAATTATTATGCAAACGTTTTGATTTGACCTCGTATTATTTGAGAACTTCCCCAATAACCGCATGTCCGTTTTTTTTATAGCTACCATTCATAACAGAGATTCTGAAAGCTTTCTTCTACTGTACCTAGGTATATATCGGTTCAGCACTTACAGGCAATGGATGGATTCTTACGGCTTGCATGGTAAGTAAAAACGTGTTGTATATCTTCTAGGCACCTTTCTCCCTGAAGATACCAATGAAGAAAAGAACTTGTGTTGTGTCCTCTTCATTGCTAGAGACAACCTTCAGCCCAACTCTTTTGAGAATCCTCAGCTCATCTCCATCATCCCTATTGTGCCTCATTGGAGTAAGTCATAATAAATCATCATCTCCTACCTATCCTACTATTTTTTGGGGGGAATTCGGCACTGGACATGTTTTGAGCATAGGACTTATTCGCTGACTAAACTAAGAGATAAAAATCGGAATGGGTTGATAAGAAGTTATAAGGATGTTGTATACCCCCCAGCAGTCACTGCTAAGGAGTAATGGGACATTGCTATTTTCGAGCAACTTGTGGAGTAAAGACTTATGAACTGACATGATGAACAATAAGTTATTCAATTGAAGGAAGGCAAATGTCACTGAAATAAATAACTTAACTTTCATAATGAGCATTCTTAAATTATTTTCCTCAACATTAAGCTTCATTCTGCTTGTCTGCAACTTGCTCGTAATTTCGTTGTACATTGAAACCTGTGGATTCGACCGCCTTGATATTACGGCCACCTCCCATTTGCGGCCAGAAATCCTCAGTCCCAATCGTTAGCTCCATAGGCTCAATGTTGAAATAACCTGTTTTATCCGGCCACATGTCTAACACGGCCAGCGGCCGAGGATTTGCAGACCCTTTCTGTGACAGCCACTCTTCAATCCGGACAGAATACAGGGATAAATATTGCTGATAGACTTTCTTCCTCTTCATTTCCCTGTCTTCTAGTCTCCCACCTTTTCTCCCTCTCGCTTCCCTTTCCGCTCCCCCTCCCGATTTCCCGAATAGGCCCGTTGCTTGCTTGGTCACAACGGTCACATCCTCGGAGTTTTGAATGTGTGGAAACGATTATCAGAGAGTTGACCTAGTTCTTCCGTGTATCTTACTACCTTTCTTTAAGGCCATTGAGTTCCACGGAGAAGCTCCAGTGCCATTTGGCAGAGAAAGGGGATGGATGCAAGAGTCAGTTGACGTGATCATGAAGCTCGAAGCGTTTTGAAGTTTTGACGATTTTATGCTTTAAAACTTTGCTTTGTTTTGAACAAATATTCGAAGCATAAAATCTTCAAAACTTTGTTCTTCCAAAAAGTCAGCAATGGGACAACACAGATGAAAAGCTGTTATGCAAGATGGTGTCCTCCGAACTTCTCGATGGAAGTTCGTAATTGGTTGGGTACCAACTTTCCACATAGATGGATCGGGCGACGAGGATGGATACAGTGACCAGCCAGGAGTTCGGATTTCACACTGTGCGATTTCTTTCGAGGGGATATGCTAAATAGAAAGTGTATGGCAGCAAGCCCGCTAATTTGGACGAATTCAAAACTTCTATCCGCAACATTTTTGCAGATTTGCCAAAGGTGTTTCTCAGACATTCAGTGGAAAATGTTGTCGAACGATAAAAAAAATGTGCTGAGAACACAGGAGCTTATGTTGAAATTTGATGTTCTCAATTTAACGGCTATGAATGGCCTTCAAGAAAAAAAAGTTTTATTTACATTAACAACGTGGTATTTAAATATTTAAATCAGAGACTTAATTATGGGTCACCCTGTGCAGTATGTTATACTCACTTTCATCCTCCTCTATTATTCCATTTTTCAAGGGGGTGGAGACGTGTGGATGGGAGTGGAGAAGCTGCCCCCGGTATATGGAAATGGCCAGTTACCCTCTACATTTACAAAAATCTTATTCCGAGGGAAGGTGAGACTGACATGGAAAAGACACAGCGCTATCATGTTACAGTCGCTGGACAGGAAACTGGCAGGATTACCACCCCTCAGTCTAGGTAGGACAGTCGAGGCGATTGCGGCCTATCTCTATCCTCTCACCTTACACTGGCAATTTATTACATCCTGCGAAGAAAAATTAAGTTGTGCAATGTGTTGAGGCCCTTACTATACTCTAAAAGCATGGTAACCCATGATGTCGTATTACGTCGATGTATATTACGATGTATTATACGTCGTATTATACATTTACAAAAGTTAAAATTGCAGACAAGGATTACTTTGGACAACAGTAATGCCCTCTATCACATTACCTCTGAGACAATTTCTTATCGGCGGAGGGAGGCTTGTCTCGATATGTTGGACAATATAGTGCCTATGCACATTGTATGTCCATATAATCCATCATTTATCATGGGGAAAGAATTGCATTCGACGGTCCACACAAATTTCCGATCGGAAAAGGACCACTAAAGAAGATAACAGATGTCAATCATAATTCTCCTACCACGTGTCAGATATTAGTTTTCATAAATATCCAAAAACGATGAAAACTTTCGATAATTAAACTGCTTCAAACAGGCAAAAACACATTTTACAGATTTTCATTAATTGCAGTAAGAGTGTTGTGCACCCTTGGCAAAAGCACTTTCGAAATACCGGAGCATGAGCTATGACGGATCCTCAAGGGCTCTTTCACAAATCGGAAGGAATCCAGAGAGAGGAATCCGTTCAATCCGAAATGCCCAAATAACCATCATTGCTACATTTAATTATTCTGTGATGAAAGTAAATGATCAATACCACAAACCTATCTGCTGCGCAGAAAGACAGTTGTCCGACACAATCTGAGGAAAGAAAAGAATGTTATTTTCATATCTCAATGCAATTTCCATTCTATTAGCATTTCCCACCATTCCGTTGCAAACAAATCGACAGTGAATAGGTAAAGGTGACATTTCTCACCTGCAGGTTTTCGCAAAAAGATCTGATCCACCGTATCGAAGAAAATATAATGTTTAAAGAAGTTCCCTGTCGTTCTGGACAAAAAAAAATCAGAATCTTCACATTTCTAGAAGTGTAAGTAAAGCATTTCCCCAACTCTGTCGTTCCAAGAGCTCCTCAACAAAGAAATTCACTGCCTTTCCCCCCAATCATACCATAACGCAAATCTATGCACAAATGAAAACTCCCAAACAAACAATGAAAAATTTCCACTCATTTTCAGTTTATTAAATAGCAAGATGGGACATCCAGAGCAAGAAAGTCCTCCCAATACCTGACAAGAAATTAAAAACTAAAATAATGATAAGTTTCCACTAGGTACAAAACTATGTTTAAACTTATCCTTTCATTTTTCGTTAAATATTGACAAATAAACAAATACAACAAATTAAAATAAATTAGGGTGACATACATGAAAATATTTCCAAATCCAAACTGAGATTTAGATTTACTTGTGTAGATACGAAGATGAATATGCGAAAACTTCGTCATCAACGGTCATCAGACCGGTCGGGAGAAATTCTCAGTTCCTTCATAATGCCATCAATCCTTTCGTTTCTGTTCCAGGCGAACGTGGGCCAACGGCGTCATCTGCGCTTTGGAGAAGTTTTGGTAAGCCCAACGTTCGTACCCTCGCCCACGCGTCGGTAGGAAATTCTCAGCTCCCTCATGATGCCATCAATCCTTCTCGCTTTCCGTTCCAGAAAAATTAAATCCGGAAGAGAGACGTGAGCTCGTGCATTCCTTTGGTAAGCCGGACTTTCCTTACCAAGCTTGCCCATTTGGAGAATACTAGGATCTGCCATGATGTCATCAATAATTCTCTCCTTCCATTCCAGAAAAACTCGATCCGGAAGAGAGACGTGAGCTCATGGATTCCTTTGGTAAGCCCGACTTTCCTCACCCAGCCCGCTTATCGGGGGAAATCTCCACTTGCGTTATGCCTCGAACCCTTATTTCTAGAAAAACTCGGGACATATGACACATGGAATCTTCTGCGAAGTTTTAGTAAGTCAAACGTTTGCCCCCAGAACGACCCATCAAAAGAAATTCTCAGCTCCGTCATGATGCCACAAATCCTTTCGTTTCCGTTCCAGACGAACGTGGGTCAGCGGCGTCATCTGCGCTTTGGAGAATTTTCGGTAAGCCCGAAGTTCGCCGTCCGCACACCGCTCGAGACACCGCTCCGACGTCATGGCATCAATCTCTTTATGTTCCAGGAAAACTCAGCCGAGGGGAAAGACTTCAGCTCATTCATTCCTTTGGTAAGACCGACGTTCGTCAATTTCCCGCCCGTCTAAAAAAATGTTCGTCTCCATCTTGATTGCATCAAACATTCTCTCTCCCTCTCTATGTTCCAGACAAACTTAACCGGAGGGAGAGACTTCAGCTGATTTATTCCTTCGGTGAGCGGTGAGAAATTCCCGGATCCGCGATGATGTCAGTAACAGTTCTCGCTTTCCTTTCCAGACAAACTCGACATTGGGGAGACATGTGAACTGATCGATTCCTTTGGTAAGTCCGACGTTCGTCCCCCCAATCGTTCGTCTGGAGAAATTCCCGACTCTATCATGCTGCCATTAACCCTTCCCTCTGTCTTTTCCAGAGAAACTCGGCCAAGCGGCGTCATCTGCACTTCTGAGAAGTTTTGGTAACCCCACGTTCTTACTTATGCCCGCGCGTCGAGAGAAATTCTCGGACCGTCGTCATGCCATCAATCCTTCTCTCTTTCCGTTCCAGACAAACTCGACCCGGAGAAGAGATGTCAGCTCATGGAATATTTTGGTAAGTACGACTTTCTTCACTCCTCCCCAACCGTCGCGAGAAATGTTTGGCACCGTCACGATGCCAAAAGCGTGTCTTTCCTTTCCAGACAAACTCCACCCAGAGGAAAGATGTCATCTCATGGAATCTTTCGGTAGGTATGACATTTCTACAACCGCTCACCCGTCGCGTGAAATTCCTGGCTCCGTCGTGATGTCATCAACTCTTTCCCTCTCTCTGTTCTAGACGAACTTGGCCCGGCAGCTTCATCATTCTATTCGGCTAGGATCGGTTAGCCACATCTTCCTACGTTATCAGGAATTCTAGGTTCCACTTTGATGCCAGCAAACCTTTTCTCTTTCCGTTCCAGAGAAACTCGATCCGTGGGAGAGTGGTCTGCTGTTTGATTCGTTTGGTAAGCTCGTCAACTAACACTCCCGTCGAGAGGAATTCCCGGCTCTGTAATGATGCCATCAACAATTCTCTTTTTCCGTTACAGAGAAACTCGATCCGGAGGAGAGACGTCAAATCAGTCATTACTTTCGTAAGTCCGACGTTGTCCCTCCTCCCGCCCGTCGGGAGAGATTCCCGGCGCCGTCGTGATGCCTTCAAAGCATCTATCTTTTTTTTTCCCAGACAAACTCGACCGGGAGAATAAACAAAAGTTCATTAATTCCCCTGGTAAGGACGACTTTCGTCACGGAGAAATTCCCGTTTCCATCGTGATGCCATAAACCTTTCTCTTTTTTTCCTTTCCAGACAGTCTCGGACCGGATGAGAGAGGTGATCTCATTCTTTCCTTCAGTAAGCCCTACTTTCTTCCCCGCCTGCCCGTCATTAACATTAATATTAATATTATTAATAACATTAATATTTTCCGGCTCCGTCGAGATAACACCAGCCCTTCTCTCTTTTCGTTCCAGACATACTCAACTCGGAGGAGAAACGTCAGATAATGGATTCCTTAGGTAAGCCCCACTTTCCGAAGACTCTTCCAGGACCTGCCACGACGTCATCAACTCTTTTTTCTTCCGTTCCAGACGATTTTGGCTCGAAAGCGTCGTCTGCGCTTTTCAGAATTTACGGTAAGCCCAACGATCGTACAACCGCGAACCCGTTCGAGAGAAAATTCGAGTCTGTTATGATGCCATTAACCCCACTCCCTTACCGTTCCAGACGGACATGAGCCAGTGGCGTCATCTGCGTTTCTAAAAAGTTTTGGTAAGCCATATGTTCCTACACATTTGAACATGTCACCTTTTGAGTAACCGGTACTAAAGGTACTAACAATTTTCTACCCTTCATATCAGAGCTACTTCTAAGGTAACACAGTGAATGTTATGTAAGAGTTACGTCTTTGAAAAGTTAGCCTTGCTGCCTTTGTCACATTTAGAAACTTCGAATCATGTCAAAAAGTTAGGGCAGTTTAAGTAACACCGGATCTTCTAATAAATTGCGAAATGACCTTTCATTTCAGTTATTTCCCGTGAACGACCTATGGAAATAAAGATTTCTGTCTGTCGTCGTGTAGGACAACAGTACTCGCATTTCTTTGAGCGATTTTTATAAGTTTAAACAGGTACAGAACTCCTCCCGACATATATATCGATTATTGGTTCCTTCCATGTTCCGTTTTTTACGATAGAATTAGAGAATTTCCATTACATCCGATTAACTCCCATTGAGCCATCCTCCTAACAGCCCCCATGCCAGAGTTTTCTGGAGAATCCTTAGACTGTGTTACCTCTTTAGACCAGTTTGTTCACGAATTCAAATGTATTCTCTCGTGGTGCCTGTATGGAAACGTCGGGCATCTTGTGGGGAAAAAAACCGGAATAATTCCAGCCGTATCAGGTATTGACTCACAATAGTGGCTACTTTGGTGTTATCTGGTCCCGTTCGTGCGAACCTCTTCTGTGCTCTTCTGTGCTAGTAACTTTTCACGTAAGCATAGCCGTTATTACGAAGGTCTCCAATTCTATTAAAGTTACGACGGTCTTGTAACTTTCTAGTAACTCTTATATGCACAGATCCAGAAAACGATAAAGGCTATGAGCCCCTTATAACTTTGAAGCACCGTGCACATTCACTTTTAAATAAGTGTCGCATGAAATTTGCACTTTTAAGAGTGTACACTCGCCCGCGCATCTGAGAAGATTCTCGTTTTTATCAGGTTGCCATGAAAAAATCCGCCTCTCTTCCCGTTCCAGATAAACTTGGTCCAGCGGCGTTATCTGCACTTCTGAAAAGTTTTGGTAAGCCCAACGTTTGTATTTCTTGCCGACGCGTCGTCACATGGGGATCTACCCATCTCTCTTTCCATTCCAGACAAACTTGGCCCAGTGTCAACGGCGCTTTTGAGAAGTATTGGTAAGCCAGACGTTCTTATATCCTCCCGCAGATTTGGAAATATTCGCTGTTCTGTCATCAATCTCTCTTTCCGTTACAGAAAAATTCGACCTGGTGGACAGATCTTTACTTATTACAACCTTTGGTAAGTCCGACCTTTGTCCACCAGCCTACTCGTCTGGAAAAATTCCCGGCTCCATCGTGATTCCATCAACTCTTCTCTGTTCCCGTTCTAGAGAGACTTGACCAAGCGGAGGCCTCTTCGCTTTTCAGAAGTTTTGGTAAGTCCGACTATTGTACCCCGAGTACGCGCATCGGGCGTCATTTTCGGCTCTGTCGTGATGCCATCAACCCTCCTCTCTTTTGCCTCAGACAAACTCGAGGCGGAGGGGAGACATCAGCTCATTGCTTCATTTGGTAATAAATGACGATCGTACTCCCGCCTGCGCGACGGACGAAATTTCCGGCTTCGTCGTGATGATTTCACCTCTCATCCCTTTCCTTTCCAGACAAACTCGACCCGGAGGAGAGACGTCAGCTCATTCATTCGTTTAGTAAGGCCGACATTTGTCTCCCTGTCCACCAATAGGTAAAAATTCCCGGTTTCGTGGTGCATCTGTCAACCCTTCCCTATTTTTCTTCCAGACAAACTCGATCCAGAGGAGAGAAGTAATCTGATTGATTCCTTTGGTAAGCATGACGTTGGTTCCCCCACTGGCTCGTCGGAAGGAATTCTCGGCTCCGTCGTGAGGCCATTACTTAATCTCACTTTTCTTTTCAGACAAACCCGACGTGGAGGAGAGGCATCAGCTCCCTGCTCCCGTTTGTAAGCTTCGCATTTTTCACCCCGACAGCTGGTCGGGAGAAATCCCTGGCTCCGTCTTGATGGCATGTACTCTCATATCTTTCTGTTCCAGACAACCTGGACCTGGAGGAAAGCCATCAGTTCATTGACTGCTTCGGTAAGCCCGACGTGCCAACCGAGAGAAACTCCTTTTTTTGTCTCAATGCCATCAACCCTCCTGTTTTTATTCCAGAGAAACCTGAACCAGGGGAGCCATTTGTGCCTTGGAGAAGCTTCAGTAAGCCCCACGTTCTACCCATTAAAGTCTATCTGGAGAAATTCACTGCTCCGTTCTGATGATGTTAACCCTTCTCTCTTTCATTTCTAGAATATATAAGCCCTGAGAAAAGGCGTCAGCTTATCGATTGCCTAGGTAAGCCTGACGTTCGTCCCAGCACACCAACCAAGAGAAATTCCTTTTTCTGTCTTAATGCCATCAACCCTTCTTCTTTCATTCAGAGAAACTTGGGCCGAGAGCGTCGTCTGCACTTTTGAGAAGCTTTGGTAAGGCCAACGTTCGACCCATCGCCAGCCCTCTCGAGATTTTCCCAGCTCCATCGTGATGACGTCCGCCTTTCTATCTTTTCTTCCTAGATAATCTTGATTCTGAGGAGAGACGTGTGCTTCTTAAACTTACTGGTAAGTCCGACGTTCTTCACCCCGTCCCCCATTCCGTAGATGTTTTCGGTTGCTTGGTGCCAGCATCAACTTTTCCATCGTTCAGGTCATATCGCACTGGAGATGAAACGTCCACACATTGATTTCTTTGGTAAGTCCGACGTTGTTCCCCCCTGTCCATCCGTCGGAGAAATTATTGTCTTCGTCGTGATGTCATCAACCGTTCTCTTTTTCCTTTCTAGACAAACTCGACCGGGAGGAGAAACGTATGGTTATTTTTCTTCTTGGTGAGATCGACGTCCTTCACCCGGCCCTCTAATCATTAGATTATCCCGGTTCGGTCGCACTTCTATCAATTATTCTCTATTTTCTTTCCAGACGAACTCCAACCGAAGGAGATGCGTCGGCACATTTATAACCTTGGTAAGCCAACCGTTGGCCAACGCCCGCCGGTCGGGAGAAAATTTCTGGCTCCTTCGTGATGCCATACACTTTCCTTTTCATTCCAGACAAGCGCGTCCTGGAGGAGAGACGTCATCCCCCTGCTCCCACTGGTAAGCCCGAGTTTCTTCCGCCCATCCTGCGGGGGAAATTCCCGGCTCTGTTGTGATGACGTGAACCTTTCTTCCCGTTCCAGGAAATCGACGGTCCAATGACGCTTGGAATCTTTTGAAAATTTTTGGTAAGTACGACGTTCGTTCCACCGGTCTTCCGCGTGAAAAATTGTCAGTTCCTCCATGTTGTCCTTAACCCTTCTGTCTTTTCGTTCCAGAAAAACTTGACCTGGAGGATAGACGTCAGCTGGTTGATTTCTTCGGTAAGTCCGACGGTGGTTCCTCCTGTCCATCCGTCGGGAGAAATAATTACTTCCGCCATGTCATCAACCCCTTTCTTTTTCAATTCTAGACAAACTCCACCGGGAGGAGAGATTTCATCTCATTGATTCCTTAGGTAAGTCCATCCTTAGTCCCCCCCCCCCCGCCCCCGGCGGAAAAAATCCTGTCATATCGGCATGAACCCTTCTCTCTTTTCTGTCAAGACGAACTTGGCCTAGCGAGGGCATCTGCGCTTCTAAGAAGTTTTGGTGAGCCCGACTTTCTTCTCTCCATCCGCCGCATGGGAAAAATTCCCAGTTCTGTCATGATGTCTTTAACTCTTCTCTTTTTCCTTTTCAGACAAACTCGACTTGGAGGAGAGACGTACTCTGAATGATTCCATTGGTAAGTGCGACGTTCGTCCCCCCGCCCAGTAATGGGAGAAATTCAGAGCTCCGTCGTGATGCCTTCAACCATTCTTACTTTACATTCCAGAAAAATTCGACCTTGAGGAGACGCGTCAGCTCATGCATGCCTTAGGTAAGTTCGACGTTAGTCCCCCCGACCGTCCGTCTGGAGAAATTCCTGGATCCGTCGTGATGGCATCAATCGATCTCCCTTTCCGTTTCAGACGAACTTGGCTCAATGGCGGTTTTTGCTCTCCGGAGTAATTCTGGTAAGCCAGTCGTTCGTCCCCTCGCCCACCAATCGGGAGAAATTCCCAACTGTGTTGTGATGTCTTCAATTCTTCCTTTTTTTCCCAGACAAACTCGACCCGGAAGAGAGACGACCGCTAATTGATTCCATTGGTAAGTACGACTTTCATTTCCCCGTCCGCCCCTCGAGGGAATTTCCTGGCTCCCTCGTGATGCCATCAAATATCCTTGACAGGAGATTCAAAAACGAGGATACCCGCAGAATTACCTAATGTCTTTTTTTCACTTTCGGTCAAAATGTTCCACACTGCAGGAATTTTCTGATGTTGGACATTTTGATGGATGGGAGTTGGGGACGTAGAGCGTAAGCGATACGGAGCCATTCTACGTTCTTCGAAAAGCTGCTCTCTGCAAACTCCAGTGGTTTCTATTCTCACGGACTATGTCTCCTTCAATAAATAAAATGCTTTTTTTTATAGTGAATCCTTTTTTTTCGCTGACGGAGTCGCTGTCATTGCAATCAAATTTTAGAGGAGAACTTCAATGACTTTCTTATATGCAAGTGTATTCGGCTTTGGGGCTTTGAGCTTTGCAACAACAATGCGATGAAGACGGTCCATATTGTATAATTAGATGCTGAAAGGATAGGCGAGGGAAAGATAGGAAGGTGGATGAGAATATTTTCGTTCCCTGCTGCAGACGGCGCCTTTCGGAATCTTTTAAGGGTTGTTAATTTGCCTTCGTTGGTACTTGTCTAACTCTAAACATTATTTTGCATTTTCCATCCAATACTCTTTTTCCATTAATTCATTTCTCCCTTCCCCCTCCATCCCGGAGTGGAGAAAAGAGGAAAATAACATTTCAGATGCTCCGCTTCGTTAAGAGATTGGAGTAACCACTGATGAAGTTGTCACTCTGAAATCGATGGAAGTGATCCTATGCAGTTGTGAAAATTCGATCATATAACTGTGAGCGCATTATGGTGTGCTAGTCAACGCAGAACAGCGTATGGAACTTCCTTCTTTAGAGATATAAAATTGAACAACCAATTGCTCAACTGCAGAAGTGAATGTTAATATCGTAACATGCGAACAATGAAATAAATACTGAATGAAAGTATAGGTTATAAGCATTCAATCTACAGTGTGAGTCAAAAGTTCTCCCTATCATTTGAACGTTAATAAACTCTCAACGCTAGATCTCGTGGAGATACGGTTTTCACATTTCCAAAGACAAAAGCCAAGTCTATATCTTAGGGAGGATATTTGCAACAATTTGCTGATGGCATCCTCCAGAAATTAAAAACCCTTTTTTGGAGGGCATATTAATGTATTGCACATATATAGAAGCTTCTGGCACCATGCTAAATTTTCTGTTCGAGTGTCAGATGGCGTTCAGATCGGGGAAGATCTACTACGACTCCTGTCCTGTCAAAATTCGAGTTTATACTGGCAATCGACTAGCGGCTGACGGTTTCTCTGATGAATTTCTTCCTGAATTGCCATGTGGTTTCTATCGCGTTCGAAATAAAGCCGAACTCTTCCAACTTGCTTATGGTCAGTCTTTTATCACCATTTTCCTCAATTTTCCATTATCACGAATGCATTGATCACAGTCAAGACAGATAACTCTGACGCTCCAACAGGCAATTTGACGCGGTGCCGGCGTTTCATGATGCCACTGGCTTTGTATAACCCGTGGAATAAAAATTTCATTTCCGAAGGATACCCTCTGGAAAACAATGCAAAAATGCTTCATTCAATACAGAATTCTCCAGTCTTTCGGATGTCGCAAACCGCAACTTGATCAGAACTAGTGTTAAGAAGTTAACTTTAAAAAGATGGGCATGACTTTTGACTACCCTTTTATAGTAAGAACAAAAGAAAGATAAGAAATGATTAATCTCGTAATGAGATTTCATCACGGGCACATCATAGCAGCACAAAGTAGGACAATATACAGGGTGGTTGAAAAATAACTCCCTATTGAAAATTGCTAATAACTTTACTAATTATTGGTCGATTGTAGTGAAACAAGTTTTATTGTGGACCGTAGAATGGTAGAAATTGTCTGCAGTGTTAAAATTCCACATAGGCACCAGCGTTTTCCACCAGTTTCTGTAATCGTCTGGGAATAGCCTCGACTGACTTCAGCAGGAACTCCGGTGGTATGTTGGTCAGAACATGCCGAATGCGATCCACCAGTTGATCCAGAGTAAGTGGTTTGGTGCCGTAAACCTCCTCCTTCGCCCACCCCCACAGGAAAAAGTCACATGGCGTGAGGTCAGGGCTCCTTGCTGGCCATTCATGTGGACCACGACGACCCAGCCAACGTCCCGGAAATTGGATGTCGAGCCACTGTAAACCTCCTCCTTCGCCCACCCCCACAGGAAAAAGTCACATGGCGTGAGGTCAGGGCTCCTTGCTGGCCATTCATGTGGACCACGACGACCCAGCCAACGTCCCGGAAATTGGATGTCGAGCCACTCACGGACAGTGAGTGCAAAATGAGGAGGGGCACCATCTTGCATGAAGATGAGGTTGTTGACGTTGTCCGAAGTGGACACAATAGGCCGAACATCATCATCCAGCATGGTTAGGTACCGATCTGCGTTCATTGTGTGCCAGCTGAGATCGCTCACGCAGTGTCAGGCGACGGGCCATTATGGGCTGCTCTCGTTATTGTGAGATGAAATCAGAGATCATCAATTAAATTCTACCACTGTAAGGATCACAATACATTTTGATCCATGCAAATGCAGTACTAATTACAAAAGTTATAAGCAATTTTCAATAGGGAGTTGCTTTTCAACCACCCTGTATATTGAAGTGAAAATGGGGAGGGGAGTGGGCTACATGGTTTCACTTTTGTTGTGGCTGAGTAGGAATACATTCAGACACGCAATGTCCAGGCAGCAGGTGGCGAAAAATTTTTAATATTTCTAGCATCATTCAATCGACAGTTTATACAGGTACAAATAGCCATAATATCTGTCAACACCGCTCATGTTTAAAACTACAAATTCAGAATCTTCCTCACTGTCACCATTATCTGTAGCAATTCACTTGGGGGACTCATCTTCTCTTTGTCACTATCAAAATCATCAGCCACTGATCCGTCTAGAACGTTTGGTATATCGGAATCTGCCAGGCCAGAAAACCAAGGTCTCTCATTGCGCACGCCATGCTGTATTTACTGCAAAACAGGTGTTAAAAGAACCTTGTTTTGGAAATTCCTACTCTTTGGTTCATGGGTAGCGAGTTTATTTGGACTTCGAGCAAAGAAACTCTTTTGCCAATCCTTGCTCCTTCGGCGCTCCCACCTCTTAAATGAGGGTTTTTTTTATGACATATTCTTTGTGACGTCATGTAACTTCCGGCATGAGGATCACTAGGTAAAAATTCACATTCCATCGTTTAGTATTCCTTTAGTAGAATCTAATTGAACTTAGGTGACGATATATCGACTTCATGGCCTGAAAATATTCATAAAATGTATATTATTTTCCTGTCCCTGTTTCCATTGTTTCCCTGTTTCTGACCTTTCCTAACCATTACGCCCTTCGTTATTTATCTAGTCTGAAAAGAAGGACCACGTTCACATGATAATGTAGGCGAAATTTTGTGCATTTCGCATACATAATTAGGCATTTTGAAAAATGACAATCCTCACCTTTTTCCTTATTATTTTGAACTATGAATGACATGCCAGGAACACCAGTTATTGGTGGCTATGGTAGAGACCTGAGATTAGTTTCCATGGTGTTTAAGTCGCTGAATTAAATTTCATACCCTGCGATGGAATTTTCATGTTCGTTTGTGTTTTTCCCTTTTTCGTTAAGATATAATTTTAGGCAAGTGGGGCAAAATCTGACCCTGTCATGAAGTCCACTCCTTGGATTACATACTGTCATTCTGAACATAACAATAAGCCTAATTATGATTTTTTTTAAAAACAATATTAAATCAATGTTCGGTCTCGAAACGTGAATGGACGGTGTGTTCATTTCCCCCTCAAATGATGTTCCAAATTCATGAATTTCGGAACGTATGCGGAGAAGGGGGGAAATTTCAACCTGTGGCGGTTTGGATATTGTCTTCCTTACCCCGTTTGTGGAAATTTTTCCGTTTCGTCACCATATTATTTTGATATCAGAGTATGCACGTCAATTGAAATATTCCTGTCCACGGAAATAGACTATTTTAAGTAGTTACGTCTGTATTTCGTGAAACAGGTGAAAACGAACGATACAATTTAAGTTTAATTCACTTAATGCGTTCGCGATATCAAGAGACTGAACATTCCTGGCATACAGTCACAAAAAAAACAAGAAAACCAATGCGAAAATAAATATACGCTGTACTTAGCTAACAGGCAAGTTCATTCCAGACTGTATTAATCGAACCAATACAAGAACGAACGGAACAGCTTCAACGACACGGTCCCAGAGCGACATTCAGGAACCAGGACACTCGGGCAGCCCCCAGTCGTAGGTGGCAGCCTTTGGCGATGCAACGTTGCTGGAAGTAGACGGCTTGAAGAGGAGGTAAGTTGCCGAAGCGAACGTCAGGCCCTTTAGGGACAATTCCACCGATGAGGCAAAGTCGTATTGAAACGCTAAAAGTGGAAACGGCAAATATATGTAACAAACTGGATGTGGCCAGCAGAGTAGCATAGACACCAGAGAAAAATGAAATTGCTCATATTTAACATATTATCAGTATCAATTTCCAAGTCTCAAAGTCTATTACACTCACGGATTGAGATCCAATAAATGCAAAACGGAGAATCCAAGAGGAATCGAACCCACTTCTTTTATCATATTGTTTATATTTCCTATTAAATGAATACAAACCGTTTACCGGAATAGTTTACCTAGTTTCGCCGTGAATGCAATGCTGACCTGGGCTTCCATTGCAATAATCGGATCCGCAACTCTTCCCTTTCCTCAGGGGTCGCTCTCCCCGTCCAAGTAAAACGTGTTTTGCTTGTTGCAGGAATATAAATGGTTCAGTTGCGAGAGACTCCTCACCTATGCCCAGAAGATCGCGTTCAACAGACAAGAACACCGACATACCTCAATAAACTGGCACATCGTAGGAACAGACCTCGTCCCCGCCCAAGGTGTACATGGCCTTGACCCTGCCCATGTTGAGGACGGCACCGAGGAGGCTGAGGAGGACGTCGAAGTCTTTTATCTCTGGGCTTAGCAGGCAATCACCCTAAGAGATTTAGAATTTAGGGAATTGACGTCACGTTTTAAAGCAATTGGTTCATTTTTAAATCGGTACTGTTTATATGAATATTAATAACTTATTGATAGTAGTATTTGTATTGATTTATGGTCCATCGTGTGGTAAGGATAAAAATATTTTGGAAAAATAATAGCATTCTCATATTTAATTGACAATTTCAGACATTAAAATGATGCATGAAATAGTGATTCCATAACATTTTTAGCAAACAGTCATTCGTACGACACTGCAAGAGAGAAAGATTTACCTTAATTTCGGGGTTATCGACGCTGACGACCCAAATCCGCTTCCCGAGCGGAGAGGCCCGCTTATTGTACCCCGCAGAGAAGTCGGGGGTGGCCGGAACGGTTTCGGGCACCATCGGCCCGATCTCGATTCCTTCGAACGCCCTGGACCGCGGCCTGAACGTCTTCCTGTTTGGCCTTTCTGGTTTCTGGCCGTAGGCTTCGAACTGGGATCCAAGAAATGCATGCGATCATTGCGGAAGATGGCTCCCAATAACGAGCAACATGTGCGCATTTCAAAATGTCAAGCGTACGGGGTGTTCCGAAAGTTTCTGACCCCATAAATTAGAGATGGAGACGAGATTAACGGGAATATATCGATTAAATTGCATTTAACATCATCGAAAATACCTTAGGCACCTGCATCGATACTTGATAATGACTTGGATCAGCGTCCTCAAGTTCTCTACCAACCGACGGATGACACTCGTGGTGCAGACTTATCACTTCAATAAGAATCCCGGCAATGATTGATGCCCAGACGGTTTTCCTTGGTCAATTCTCCCAGACCTTGGTCAATTCTCCGAGTCTCCTCGACGGAGCGGAACGCGAAGCAAGCCGTGAGGCATGGAGCTCCGTTCTGCATCAGCAATACCTTTCGTTGGTCTGGGGAGATCGCCCGGATCTTCGTGTAGCCCGTGTAAGCATGTGGGATGTTTTCGCAGTGGTTGAAATAGCATTTAGAGATATTTCGCGAGGGTGGGTCAGACACTTTCGGAAAGCCTTGTAGGTAACTCTAATACTGTTGCCAGTCGGATCTAATTCCGGCAAAATGGCCGCTAAGAACTAATTCTATCCTCGTTCCCCTGCGGTCGATCCCCCATATATCTCACATGTAGTGGTGGTTAGCAATGCGATCGGTTCCGTTCTGTCACGCAAGCCGCATGGCTTTCCTCGTTTCGCGAATAAGGCGAGTAGCAATATGCGATCGGGCTCCATGATGGCGTTTGGGGTCGATGATGGGCATTGATCCCATGCGGTATGTAAGGCGTCGTAATTCCTCGCAATATGTATCGTTGATCTGTGGGCATGCAACGTATTACGTGCGGAGGCATTAATCATCAGTTAATATAAATCAATATCAATAAATCATCATTCCTTAAGGAAAGATTCCACTTGTGATCGATTAATGTTTGATGCGACTAATTATTATGGATGTCATGGGGGAATTGGGACGATGTAACGCTTCCATAAATTCGCCATGCCGAAAGAGTTCGGATCGGAATGAGTAATGAGCAACGTAATCGATAAAAATAAAAATAAGCAATTAAGGTTATGAACTTGGAGAGGTAATGAATGGATATGTTGGGTTCACTGAAGCAGTCTACTTGGAGACTCAAGTACTGAGTCCCTTGAAATCGCAGTTCTGCTGACAAAAAAAAAACAGATGATCAATAGTGATGATCATCTGAAGAAATCTATGCAACTGAACATATGGTTTAAAAAAAAAAATACGCTCTTTAAAAGTGTTGATACTCTTATGGAAAACCCTCAACTTATTTCGTCCCGTAGAACTGGTATTGACTCGCTTAGACGGGATTTTTGGCGCTATCGATCAATTTCGTTATGCGAATAATAGAAACCAAGTCATTTGGTCAATCGAGGTGGACACATTGATTGCATTCGGAGTTGCCTAGAAATGAATGTTAACTCAAGATAGCCAGAAGAACGTATGAAAAAGGTCCCCCTAATTTTTTTAAAAACTTTTGTTGATATTGGGAAGGTAAAACAGAGGATAAAAAAGGTTTTCTCCTCTTGTTCAACCTGTGAAAGACCCTTCAGGTAAAGATTAGTGGAAAATGCGGTTAAATTTGGACGAACGAGGTGGTAACGTCTCATATGGGCGTTTGTTGCGTTAATGCAAAGCCGTTTGGGCATATATCCACGAATTAAGCAAAAAATGGAGTTGGTATGGTTGAACCAGAACTAGCCCTAACCAATTTGTTCACTGGAAACTTATTTATTGACTCATACAGAATGCATTCTTAGATTGCCTACGATTCAATAAGTACTTCGAGTAATGAAAAGTACCTCTTATGGCAAATTCGACAGGACGCCTGCAAGGAAACGACGATGTAGCACTTGGTCTAATTAAATACATATCGTGGCAATGGTTCTCCAGTGCACTCAATCACTGAAGGTAGCTAAAGCTGGCTTCAGAATCCTTACCAAAGCACACATTAACGCATCGAAAATCTAATTCGGTCTCAACTTAACTATGGTATCCAAGGTATAGATACGTTGGATACCACTCGTATTGATGAACTCGTATTGATGAACTTAACTCGTATTGATGGACATCAACTCGTGATGTGTCAAGGACACACGTTTTGAGCTGTTCCCAAATGCTTTTCTGTAGATGTTGTTTGAGAATTCCGTTACTCTGCCTTTCCTGAATGGCTGAATGCAGGATTGATCTTCTAGGTCGAGTACTGTAGCGGATGGATTGGGAGTCGAATTTTTTAAGGCGTCGAGAATGAGCTAACCAAAGGCTGATGGGAGAGAATCAACTCATACCATACCCTACGATTCAGCTGACTTAGAAAATTCGCACCTTGAAGTCGGTGTCAGAGGAGCAGACGTAGCTGCCACCGTCGCGGACGCCCTCCAGATCTTGGATCATCCTCCCGTCCAGGGTGAAGATGTACCTGACCCCCTTGGGCAAGCTGGGGATCCGCTTGGTCAGATGCCGGCACAGCACGTCCAGATCGATCGCGTCTCGGCTGGGTCGGAAGCGGAACTCGAAGGGTTTGAAGTGGAGGTCGCCGTTCTTGTAGAACTTCACCACCCTCGCCTTCCAGGGTTCGTAGGAGAACTTGGACTTGACCCGTTCGTAGCTGGAAGACCTGTAAGGATATACACCCCCGATCCGGGAGTTTAACCCCGTCCGGTATCCGTCCTCCTCCAGGGAGTTTCGTCGGGTTAAGGCGTAGAAACTGGCTCGGGTGGGGCCTCTGGTGTCCAAGTAATCGTAGTCTCCCATCGGCGACATTGGGTTATTCACTTTGTATTTTCTGTAACCGTTATCATTCCTGTTATTGTATCCGATCCCACGGTTTCCGTTTCCCGGCGTTTGATACCCATTCCGCGACGGGGGAATTGGATTCGGCGGTTCTCTGTAGTACGCGGGTGGAGGGACCGGCCGAAGAAGATCAGTGCGAGATTTGACTCTTCTCAACTCCCTTTTGTCCATCGTACGTTCCCCAAAATGCACAGTCTCCCACGCACGAACGGAAACACGCAGCCCACAATCTCACTTTCGTAGCCTCACGGTGTGACGTCTCNTTAACTCGTATTGATGGACATCAACTCGTGATGTGTCAAGGACACACGTTTTGAGCTGTTCCCAAATGCTTTTCTGTAGATGTTGTTTGAGAATTCCGTTACTCTGCCTTTCCTGAATGGCTGAATGCAGGATTGATCTTCTAGGTCGAGTACTGTAGCGGATGGATTGGGAGTCGAATTTTTTAAGGCGTCGAGAATGAGCTAACCAAAGGCTGATGGGAGAGAATCAACTCATACCATACCCTACGATTCAGCTGACTTAGAAAATTCGCACCTTGAAGTCGGTGTCAGAGGAGCAGACGTAGCTGCCACCGTCGCGGACGCCCTCCAGATCTTGGATCATCCTCCCGTCCAGGGTGAAGATGTACCTGACCCCCTTGGGCAAGCTGGGGATCCGCTTGGTCAGATGCCGGCACAGCACGTCCAGATCGATCGCGTCTCGGCTGGGTCGGAAGCGGAACTCGAAGGGTTTGAAGTGGAGGTCGCCGTTTTTGTAGAACTTCACCACCCTCGCCTTCCAGGGTTCGTAGGAGAACTTGGACTTGACCCGTTCGTAGCTGGAAGACCTGTAGGGATATACACCCCCGATCCGGGAGTTTACCCCCATCCGGTATCCGTCCTCCTCCAGGGAGTTTCGTCGGGTTAAGGCGTAGAAGCTGGCTCGGGTGGGGCCTCTGGTGTCTGGGTAATCGTAGTCTCCCATCGGCGACGTTGGGTTATTCACTTTGTATTTTCTGTAACCGTTATCATTCCTGTTATTGTATCCGATTCCCCGGTTTCCGTTTCCCGGCGTTTGATACCCATTCCGCGACGGGGGAATTGGATCCGGCGGTTCTCTGTAGTACGCGGGTGATCCCTGGCCGGCTTCTTCTAGTCACGCTCTAAACTGAGAAGAGTTGAGGGAAAACAGGTAGCATGCAAGGGGTTTTACGTGTCAGAGGGTGCGTGCTTGCCTTTGTGCGTCGGGTGTTAGAGTGAAACGTAGCCTCACGGTCTGACGTCTCGGCTCCAACTGGCCCATTCGCGAGGCGAAGTTCCTCGTCATTCCCCATGCACTGTGTGGGTGTTACCTAGGAGATGTCGCTTATCTCGCGTCTGCTCTGTGCCACCTCGTAAAGAAGGCATCGTGCATGAATTATCCATTCGACCTCCATCTCCTTCGCAATGCCGTGCATTCATTATTCATCGATTGCATGCGAATAGAGGGTAGTGAATAGAGGGTATTGTCGAGACGTAACACAAGCACCGCAGAGAATTAGCGCGGTAACTACGGGTTTCCGGACGATGGAACCCACGGGACACCTGACAGCATTGATGGGCGCACAACGCTTCATGATGCTACTTTTCAAACGAGTCTTCGAGTTAAGTGCGCATCTTGGGACGTAGCTAGCCCTAGTAAACACGTAGTTACTGTAGCTAGTAGGGTAGCTGCAGGATTATCGCTGCATGCACGTATAGTTCATAATTCGCTTGGCGACGGATCCCCGTCTTCGCTTTCACTGAAAGACCGAACAATTCCAAGGTAGTGTCGTGAAATGGGGACTGTCGGTGGTTTTTCCACGACGCGATCAGAATATTGTGAAATTTGGCTACGTGAAGGGTATCATCGCAAAACTCTTATTTTATGTTTAGCCGTGGTTTAATGATTTGTGGTCATATGTGATTGTTTTATGTCATTATGGATCATTTGGGATCATTCACGCTGGTATTGTGATACAGTGGCACTTATTTCCCTTCATAATTTCGGGACCTTTTTATTTCCACTTATTTTTTTTTGCATTCATTCATTTTCATTTCCATTTATTTGTAGTTGATCTGTACCCCCAATCCCTTCTCGAAATTTGAGACGAATTTGAGCCTGCAGTGTGACAACTGCCACTGGAATGTCATACTATTTGTTTCTAATATCGTGGATTTTGCTTAGTTTGAGCCATCACTTTCGCCTGGAAAGTCGTTTCCAGGAAAGGGCCTTTCGGGATCTCCAGCAGACGCGACAGTGAACATGGTCAAACGTTTCACGCCTTGGTCGACTTTTTCTCGAAAGAAAAGTTCCATGATAACGGGAAGAATTTCACTCATTTGCTGTGCAATTTCCACCGATACAACGGTATTCTATCGCCGCCTCTAAAATTTCTGAGAAGTACGTAATTTGCCACTGAAGTTATTTAAAAATTATATTCTATTTTTTTAGGATGAAACTGACTTATTGGACACAAACTTGTTAAGGAAACTTCAAACTACAAATTCGCTGACGATTTCAGAATCAAGGAATTCAGGCGGAATTTCAATGTACGTCAGGAAATACTTATTTTCGAATAAGTGCAAACAAAAAACTAATTTTCTTAAGATGTTAAAAGTATTTTCATCCTTGCTGTCTTCTCAAGACGACGGAAACGCTGAATCATAACAAGCTAAACTCAAACTTCCAATCCTCTCTCACTGCAAATATCTCCGAGTTGTCTTTGGGATTACTGCTAGTTGGATCGGATGAGAATTCGAGACTCTCGCACCGAGGGCAGGAAAGCATGGAAAAACATTCCAGGAGTCGCTATTTTGATAGCAACATTTAGTTTAGTTCCACTTGGGTTCAAAATCTGAAGGATACTTTACCTTCGACGCCGAGAATTTATTGTTGCACTTTTCAGACTAGAATACTAGGGGAAAACTTCACATCGTAATGTGTTGTGGGATATAGATATATTCATGATTCTGATGAAGGAGTGTGACGAAATACTCTGGTGCCGCATTAAAATTGTGCGAAAGTAATGTGGCGTGCTCTATTTCATGAAGTTTTCCCCTCTCAAATCTCCAATTTGGGTTCCATGTAACGAATTGAAAAATTCAATCTTTTGATCCCGCGTTCTCCCTTCAGCGGCACATGGCAAACTGGAGGGGGATCAAGTAAGAAAATGAAAAGGCACAAGTTGGAAATTTAGTCCCTTGAGGCCATCCAGATTAAAGAATTCCCTACTTCACAAACGAAGGCCTCACATCACAGCCAAGGAATCGCTTCCTCAAGCTCTTCAAAAAATTCACTTAAAGGGAGGAGACGATTTGGCTTCGGAAAAAGGAGCCATTCACCCGTGACGTCAATGCACAATCCGAAACTGGCCATTGCGAAATTGCCTTCGAAGGGTCTTGGCCACAGCTGCATTTCTGCCTTGCAAACCCGAGACAGGTGACACACCCTTGACAGCATATCGCTCTTCAACGTGATGGGAAAAAAAAAAACAAGGAAAAGCACCGTATTATTGAATAAGTTGGACAGAATGCACGAAAAAGCAAACACACAGATCTCTCCTCGGAATCAAGGAGAGCAACAGAACCAAGCCACACAACAGGACAAATTGTATGCCGCCACGTAGTGATGCCATGTAAACAGAGAGACATGCCAGAAAGTTTTAACGATTCCCAATCAATCAACCGATGTGTACATTGAAACCGGTTCTTCGTGCTTCTCCTCCATTGTCGATCATTTGCAGCATCCTGAAGACCCTGAACTTCTTGCACAGGCTTTCTCCAACACATCAAACGGATTTGTTTTCGTGTACTAGTGAGGAAAGCATGACAGTTGAATAATAATTCCCAAAAATAGCAAGAGGATTATAAATTGAGTTGCACTAAATGCGGGCGATATCCTCACACGAGCTAGCTCATCGCATTCCCACAAACGATATTGCCGATCGCGCTTCGCCAATTTGTGGAGTGCTGGACCGGGAAGTCATGCCGAGAATGAGGATGGATCCGTCGCGGGTCGATTTCGATGCAGTTGGATGCATCATACTGATACATCCAACTGATGCATCGTTGAAGCCATCGATTCCGTCTCGGCATGACTTTCAAGTTCAACACTCAGCATTCAGCGCAACCGTTCAAGCCTTACTCTTCTCCGGAGACCATACTAGTCTCTGTTGCGGATTCAGGTCATAACAAGTCGGTAGTTATTTCAAAAAAAGACGTAGCTTAGTAGTAAACTGGATCTTTGATTCAAGCTAAAATGGTGACATCAATGATATTTCCATTTCGTTTCGAAAAATGTGAATATCCATATTACGCCATTAAAACATAACTGGATTTCTTGACGCACTGCAATGAGGCAGTTCACTAAATTCTAGCAGGATCACTCAAGTTATGGTCGTTGCTCATATCTATCGATTTTGGAATTTATAAAAAGGCCCAGGATCGCACAAATTGTGCAACTCGACGAGAGTCTATGCCCTACCTCGTGAATGGATTCCCCGTCGACAGTGTCTTCGAACTTGAAGTTGGTCTTGAACCTGGAAGATTCTAGGATGGAAGCCAATTCCTTGCTGATATTCTTGGGGACACCCGTCTGAGAACGAGAACATCTTTCAAAATTTCAACACATTCAATCGCTGAGCCCTAGACTGGGACATATATGCACATCTGGCATTAAATAAATGTACGGGGCCAGAAAAATCATTCAGGAAACATTGATGCAGAAGCATAAGATCACACCCAGCTTGTCGCAAAAAGGTAACTATTACAGCTGAAACGGCAACTGATGAGGAACCTTTTAGCAAAGAGACCCGAAAATCCGCGCCTAAAGTTATCTCTTCATTTCACCACTGCAAACACACGAATTGCCTTCCTCGGCTGGAACTTCTGCTCTAGCACCCGCTTGAGTTTCCTCAGTCTCGTAGGAACCTCAGGCGGCAGCATCCACCGTCGGAACCCCCTCCGTAGCAGCGGCCTCCCTCTGCCGAACTTCTTGCGGTAAGTGACCGAGGCGAACGTCAGGTCCTTGGGAAGCTCGTCGACTGGGGGAACAAAGTCATAATTTTTTTAATTTTTAAATGGGCGTTTTTAAAAGCGTAAGAGCAAAATGTAATTGAGCTACGTTAGGTGATCGAAGGGAAAGATCCCGAATGTGTTGAAACTCAAATTATGAATGCAACTGAGAGCCTCAAGTCTCGGGAACGACTGCGGCTTTTGACCGAGGGAAAATAAATGCGTCGCAGGGCGTCACGGTGGGATTGACTCTGGTGGTTTTCGGGATCCAAAATTTCAGGGAAATTCCTTTTTCTGGGATAAAACCCATAGGGGAACTGTCTCAAAAGGGGATGGGCGGATTTCCTGAAATGTTTTCTCTTGCGCAAAACACTTATTTCAGCTGTGCTTCAAAAACTATTTTATGAAACAAAATTTCTGGGAAATTTTTCAGAGAAGCTAACAACCCTTCGAAAAAAATTACGAGTTTTCAAAAAAGCTAACAACACCTTCGGAAAAAATTGGCAGTTTTTAAATAAGAGGTGCCACTTGATGAAATAATTTTTCGCGATAGGTGCAATGTTGCTATTACCCCCATGTTTGAAATTTGCGCAAAAAATGATGGGTAAAATGAGATGGCGATTCCCACTGAAACCAGCTCATCCAGTCACTAATATTCAATCTCGGGATCAAATATTGCACGCCGCTGGGTTGGATTCGCAAAACGCATTTCGTCATGAGCAACTTCATAGTGCGTCACGCCGAGTCCGAACGATGAGCTCCGTTAGAGTCGAAACATTTGTGGAAGAAAAAAAATGTGTCGGCACTCTGCCGGCATTGTCGGAGCAACAGTTGCATCGAGCGACTCATTCTGAACGGTCGTCAGCGGTTCTCGAGCCGAAGTCACGTGACGACGAAATTTTTTCCAACCCGTAGTAACTCATCACTCCATTTAAAAGTCTCGAATGCAGTGGGTTTGCAAGACCGAAGGAAAACCACGAGCAACCGGCAGTTGAATAAGCTCGGAATGGTATAGTGGAATCAAGCTCGAATTTCACATGGAATGAAAATGCGAGGAAAAGGAGACGAGACCGTGCATCCGCTGGAGCTCCTCGGTCGTGACGGGGACCGGCTTGGACTCCTTGATGATGGGGCTGCGGAAGCCGACGTCGGCGCAGATGGAGTGGAGGTCCTCCCACCACAGGGCGCCGGAGTAGCATTCGCCCCACAGGTCCTTGTTCTCTTGGAGGACTTTGGGCACGGGGCAGCTGGCGTAGATGTCGCTGAAGTACAGCTCCCCTCCTACCTGCCTCGTGCAATAAAATAACGAATGATTTTCGCCCGAGTAAGCGAATGATGAAGATGCGGTATATATCTCAAATTTCTATAAAATTATACAATTACGTGTACCGGGAAAATTCTATATATTACTGCCAATTTCAACGCAAAAAACGGTCACGTATGATGGCCTTGAATAGATTCGGGCCGAAACAGCACGGTTTCGCGCTTATGTAAAATGCATCACAAACTTGAGGAGACCTTCGGGGTCGAAAACTCCCAAGAGGAGATTCTCATCGCAAAATGAGCAACGAACGCACTAACTCACGCTTGGGCGACACTAAATGTTCTTAAGCATGCTTAACGCGAGTCCCTAACGTCTCCAGTGCCTTTGGATTGCTTTCTCTCATTTCCCTCCAAACCTCAACTCGATGCTTTAAGTGGAACCTCGGCGATGGAAGCAAGAAGCCATTCATGAATGCTCTCGTAACCTTGACCTTGAACTGACCTTGAGGTGATCAAAGGCCTGGGCCAGGGCGGCCCGCTTGTCCGGGCAGAGATTCACCACGCAGTTCGATCTGCAACACAAAAAAAAATATTCAATATTTGGCCAAGATTGGATTCGTAAATGAATGAATAACCTCGTACACCATGACGTCGAAGTAGTCCTCTTGGAGTTTGAGGCCCTTGAGGTCCTCCATGTAGCCCAGTTTGAAGCTGACGTTGGACTGCTCGAAGCCGAACTTCTTCATGTGGTGGTCCGCGTATTCCTCGGCCTTCGCGATCTGAGGATTACTTATTCGTTTCAACTGCGATGAATTGTCATTAATTAAATGTGAAGTTTATTGTGACAAAATGGGATGAAATAGGACGAAAATGGAATGAAATGGGACGAAAATGGTATGAAATGAGACCTGCTCGGGGGTCATGTCGACCCCGACGACGGCGCCGTCTCCCCCGACCAGCTGGCTGAGGACGAAGACGTCCCGGCCCGTCCCGCAGCCCAGGTCGAGGACCTTGCAGCCGGTCAACCCGTCCGGGAACGGGTTGCCGCACCCGTAGTTCCTGGAAAATGAATGGCATTCCGAATGCATCGTTCCTGAAAATTTTCGACAAAGGGGCACATGCCGATGCGGTAAATAAAATATTTATACGGACTTCCGGGACCTGGGCCTCCCATTCCGCACGAGAAACATGTGGCATCGCAGCGACAAGAATCAACAGCGAGCGTGTTTCATTTCGCATTCGTGACAGGTTGACAGAAAGCCGATGGAGTCCACAGCTCACACGTGCTCGTTAGCTGCTCTCAACAGGCTCTCGATCCGATTGCAAGCGCTGCGACAGGATACAATTTACGAGGATTTCCTCCTCTCTGCCCCTCTGCCCCCCTCTCTCGAGTTGCTCGGGTGATCACCATTCAGAGAAAAACCAACCATCGTTAAAAGAAAGGAAGGGCGATCCTTAATTTACATTTAATTAATAGCTGTCCCTTTACCAGGCGCAGTGTCGCCCAAGAAAACACGACAGCGAACTGATATCCGACACCGAAAAGCCGGTTCGACCACACGCGCGGCGCCTCCATTCGCGCCGACCGGCGCCTCCAATCGCGTCGATCGGCGCCTCCATCCGCATCCGCCACGCCAAGGCCACCCGGTTATACAACCGCCCGCTTCCCCGGCGTTAACACAAATATTTAAAAAAAACATACGCGTCAAAAATCGACGCCGACACGGCGCCGCTCAAGGTCGAGGTCGCTCGACCGCGAGAAGCCGGGTGCATGGCAGCTGTCGCCCTTAACAAACCCGACGCAGGCGGATTCTACGTGCTTTAATCTCTTGGACGCCATTTAACTAATCGGGGCCCGCCAACAAATAATTAATTTAAATTGATATTTTACTATGAATGCTCATAGCTTTTTTTTTTTATAAACAGTATTCCTAATTTATTCATTTAAATATTCATGAATACCTAATACACACGAGTCGAAACAAGGAATCCGACAAAATATCATCCTCGGCATCTAATATCGTAACAATTAATAATCGCTGTACTCAGTAAAGCGATGAGAAAATAAGTCGAGAGCGGATGGGGGAACGCCAGTCCCTTTCATTAATAACGGGAGAGACGCGTTTCCAATTGGAAGAGTCATCATCGATGAGCGAGGCTGCAATGAGCCGAGAACCCGTTTCACCGACTTACCGTCTATTGCGCGTCGGATCGGCATTCGTGACAAGGGGATTCTATTGTTGTCGAATAGAGCTCTCAAGGTCGAGGAAACCGGCCCGAGACCATTTTTCCTTCTTTTTTTTTGGGGGGGGGGGGCTTGTCTCGGTTCCAAGGAGGTTCTGGGTTGGGAGCATGGACCCGCTTTACTTTAACGGAACTGGACACGCGTGGAATTTCAGAGTAGGATAAACATATGCACGCCCCAGAAAAAAAACGATATGAAAGAGTACGTCCATATTAGCAAAGAACGGACGGATGAATCACGTGCTAAATCGCCGTACTCGAGAAAACAGACAAGGAAAGAAGGAAAAAAAAAGGGGAAAAAAGGGAGGTGGGGGGAAAGGCAAAGGGTGAAACATTGGGGAAAATATATTTCTGTCCCGATTCGGCAGCCGCGCCCAGACACACTCGTTTGGACTCACGTGGCCATGATCTCATCGTGGACGTTCGCGAGGCACTGCTTCACGTGTTGGGGGATCTTGGTCGAGCCTTGGACGATGCACGCCACGCTCTTCAGGTCCTTCTGGCTCTTCAGCTCCTTCCCGTAGTATTCCTGCACCTCCGCGTGCTTCTCTTGCTTGCAACACGACATCGCGTAAAGAAGGATGTCGCTCGGAAGGATGACACTTGCTATCGCTGTGATGAACCGGGCGAGGTGAAAGACGCAGTGCACGCGGCCGATCCCGGAGTGTGTCGCCTTCCCCGTGCCTCTCTCCGCGGAATATCGATCCGGCTCAGCTGCGCCGCGCAGGCGACGGCCTCTCTTCGCCCACATGCGACCGTAACGGCCTTGAGTGCACGGGGAACGGCCTCGAGGCCACGGAATTTCCACGCGCGAGAGAACGAGCTGAGGCACACCGAAGCCGGGCATTCCGAATGCCTCGCATTCTAATCACTCACTCTTCCGAATTTAATTTTTTTTAAATTAGATTAGCGAAGTTTTTTTTCCTAATTGCGAACATGATTTCTTCATGATGACGATCCGTGGCCATGAAATTAGTGGCCAATATTGCTCCTAATGATTTCAAGCAAGATTTTGCATTTGAAGTAAAATATTGTTTACATTTTGAATAACATTCAATGAGCTTTTGTGTAAATTTGATTCGCGATATGTAATAATTGAACGATGGGAATGCACTGCCAGCTGACCGGCCAGAAGCGATGGTAAACAACAAATTGCAAATGACTTTCTTTGTAATGGAATCCAAGGCCGTACCGTTCCAGAACGATGTAACGTCCTTGATTACGTTCAACATAATTGTTCGTGACCTCATCGGTCATCACGAAAGTAAGGAATGACGCTCAGCATCAACGCGGAAATTCGCGAGCCACGACTCGAAGGAAATGAGAAACGTTTTAATTGGCCTTGATTATCTTCTACCCTGTGAGGGTGGAAGACTCTCCGTGAGGGTGGGGGACTCTCTGTGAGGATTTACGATTCTCAGTGAAAAGGGAGTCGAGAGGGAGCGACGAATCGAGTCGAAGATTGGCAGAAAAATGGAAAGTTGAATGGAAACACGTTTCGCTTTCTTTTGAGGCGCCGCCTCGAGGCTAGAGCCCACCCCGGGCCAATTTTTTCGTGACCTGACCCAATGAAAAAATGTCAGCTCATACTTTCCGGTTTCCGCATCGTTTCTGGTGGTTTAACAAAGAGCGTCCGCACTGGCCGATAGCTAGGCCGAGCGACAATTGTGTTTTGTGCATGTGCGTGTGTGTGTTTGTGTGACAGCTCTACAGGCCAAACGGTTAAAGATATGAACTTGGGGTCTCGAGAGAACTCTTCCTTGCCATCCGAGGATGTGCCTTCGAGAAATGAAATTCGCAAATCGTCCATACGAAAGAGAGGGGAAACAATTTTCATTGGAAATCGGAGATTAGCTCTCCGTCTCGCCATCTTTCGGATGAACTCAGAAACGAGAGCTGCCGCGGTTTTCGAAGGGGAGTGCTGGCATCGCTCTCTGCAGTGCCTGCTGCAGTCGATCCTGGGATAACAAGGGTTAATAGGCGATTCCGCGGCTCTTCGCCACATGCGATCGCACGGGCTTTCGCATAGAAACCCATCACGCGAATTTCCTCGATTGTTTCCTGTCGATGCAGATTTGCAGAATTGCACGAACGACGCAAGGACGTCGGCGAGAGCGAGAGTTTTGCGAAGGGTTGGATTTTTTTTTTCCGGCATCACAGTCGCATTGGTAGATGACAGCAAAAAATACTGGTGTACCGTCGGGATCTTGCAAAAAAAAAAAAATAAATAAATACAGTGATTTGCGGATCGTCGCTGCGCTGCGTGTTGCGAGTTACTTCATTTTTCTTCGCCTCCGCTCGCATTCACTTCCTCGCTCCATTCAAAACAAGGGTCCGATGAAACCCGTAGGCTTTAAACATGGACGCTTTCGGGAACGTTCAACGGCTTTCGAAGATTTATTTCGACCTCCAATGTGCAATGATGAGTGCGGCGCTCAGACGAGGTGATTTTCGATCACGTGACGTTCTGACTGAAGGACAATTGTCGAAAAGTTAAGATGATTTCCGAACGCGCATCGATGGGACGATGACAATGGACCGAGGCGAAGGTTCGCACCATCGACGCTTGATGGCGCCAAGGTCGTCCCTAAAACGTATCATATCTTATGATAGATCTTCCACGAGGTAGCCGATCTCTCTCCGCGTAAATCAAAAAGGAAATACTTGAATTCGTGAGCAAATTGGTCTATAGAGGTAACTCGGTCCAAGGAGTCAACAGAGAACTCGAAAGACCGTGTGACTTCTTGTGGCAAAAGTGAAAATGCTCATAAACATCTCTCCTTCAAAAAGGCAATTCAGTGGGTGGGTTGACTACCGAATACAAGGTAACTCATGTACATATGATCCCAGCAAACTACACGAAATCCATTACGTTGATTCAACGTAGAGTCCACATTGAATGAACGTTGATACAAAGCTGGTCCGACGTACAATACAGAGACGGAACAGGGTTGACTTGGTTATTCGCTCAAGGTGATAGGCAGATTTCCATCGTTTCATCGCATTCTCTCTTCAGGATGTAATTTGTTTTTCCACCTATATCCTGGTTTCATATGGTCGGAAAGTTTGAAGAGGGAAAAGCCGTGATTTGTTCCCATTGCCTTGCAGGCCATCGATTGGTCTTCAGATGGCTCGCTTCGGGTGCATGGGGCTCGTTTGCTCATGTGTTATGAAGAGGTGGTTTCCACACTCTTAGAAAAGGGGAGCGATTTTTCTCGAAAAAGAGAGTAAAACAGCTAACTCCGGTTTCACCCCCCTTTCACTCTGGGAAAGGAGCGAATTTACTCAATCACGAAGGAGTAAAATTTCTCTCCTCCTCCGTGAGTAAAAACGCTCCAATCAGAAAGTGATAGGGTTGTCATGCCAATACGAAAATTCACATATTTACTGCGTGCCGTTTTCGCTCTCGTACAGGCGTTGACCGACCTCTGACTGCACTGTTTACAGTACATGGCAAAGAGTGGACCACCTCTTACAGGTTCCGTGGAGTGCCTGGGATATCAGTCCTTCATTGCCTCGGGTCGCAACGATTCTCCCCTCCCCAGGAACCGGCACGTGGCACCTACTGATCTTGTTCATGTTGGAGGCAGATTTTTTCTAATACAGTCCTATATTTTCCATACTTTAGACTCCAAACTTCCTCCGAATTAAAAAAAAATCAAATGTATAAACTCTTTCAAATTATGAATACTAGCTCTTGATATAAAGCTGGCTTTGCGACAGTCATATTACGCTTTGAAGGGACACAACTCCATTCTCAAGTCTGAATCTTCTCAAATGTACGTTCGAAGGATACCGACTAAGTCGAAGCGATGGGAAATCCATATGCACAATATTCGAATGTTGATATTTGATTGCTTAATATTATATATAATAATAATATTCCACGAGAAAGAAATAGAGATATCAAATGTGCCATACGCCCAGGCCTGCTTGCTTCACCGGGATTCACATCCCAGCTATTTTAGTCATCTCTATCAATTGGAGAGTCATCTCTATCAATATCAATTGCTATTTTAGTCATCTCTATCATCATCTATATCATCTCTATCTCTAACCCAAAAAACACGAAAGTCAAGATTAGCAACATTGACAACATTTATTTGACACTGGCTTCAGGAACGGATCATGATCGGAACGTGATGTGCGAACCGCCAAAGTTGGTGAAAACAGGCTATATTGGACCTTTAACTTTTTATTTTAGGTTGATGGAAAAAAAGTAGGAAGTTGAAACTTAGTTTTTTTTTCCACATTGTCACTGATTTAGTTGCAATTTTCTGAAAGCTCGTTATGTTGACATGTATCTCAGGGCCCAAAACTTGCGTGCAAGATTTGATAATATTTACCATTTTGCAAATTGTGCGAAAAATTTTGTAAATGACCGTGGTGAAGTTCGAGGCCGCATAACAGAGACCCCTAAGAACCGTTTTAGAGCCAGAAAGCCAAAAATTTCAATTCTTGTCAATCGGGCTAGAACGCCATCATGCACACATTCATCTCAAGCAAATCGGAGCCAGAAGCGCAACCACCCCTTTACCACACGAGCTGGAATGTCTCTGAGTCGTTCCATGTCCAAAGCTCATGTCGAAAGGTCCAAAGGTCGTTGCTTACACCGACTGGAATTTTGCCGTTGAAAAGCATGCGTGCTGAGGGTTATGAGAGACGGATGAATCCGAAATTTCAGCTGCCTAGGTCACAATAATTATAATTACTTTCATGATTGGCCTTGTTTTTCTAGCGGATACTAGGACATCCTTGCAGGTGATGGCATCCAGAATGCATTCAAATTTCGGAGACATTCTTTCTACAGAACTCTTCGAGATGGTACATGAAAATCCTGATGAGTCGAATGTCACACGTGCTCATTGAAACAAGACACACGGAATAATTCCATGATCGGTCTGATGTTACACATCCTTAGTAGGGATGTGTAACTATTAGTGAGATGTCTCGTAATCCTTGCAATTGTCCGCTATGGGTCTAATTGGCGCAGTAAAATTGAGCGCTGAGATTCTTCGGAATGGAAGAAGGTATTGCAAGGGCTTACCCGAAGACAGTTCGAGGGTTATGTAATGTTAGTAACGTTCGTGAGTCTCGTAGAGAAGGGGGGGGGGCCAAAGTAAGGGGAAATCCATTGAAAAACGGATTTCACAATGCTTCGTACATTATGCCCTTTGCGGTATTACTTACTGCGCTATTACTGACGAACCCAACGCTTGTGTGAAAGTGAAAAAAAAAAACACCCTCGCAAGGGTGTCCTCTGAGAACGAAAGATAAACTTCACGACGATCGAGATTTCATGGCGATCCACCACTTCTCGAAAGGCAATGGCTGACCTGAATGGAGAAAAGCGGGGTGATCCAATTCTTCGTTATTCGCTCCTCGCTGGGGTCCTCGTCCGTGGTGGACTCTCCCCGCTGCATTTTCATGGGGATCGTGCCGAGAATGTCTCTGAAAGTAATGAAGTCAATCATGATCTCCGCTCCAGTTGAACTTCAGAATTTCAAAATTTTCCAATAAGAACTTTAAGCCCTATGGCTTCCGTTAATCTGCGATTTTGGAATCTCATGAAAGCAGCAAGTACATGCAGCGTGTCCAGTCCCAGAAAGGGCCAGTCAGCATGGACCCGTAATTGGGTGCCATTTCTTATAACTTGTGAAAGACTGTCAAATCTCAGCAGGAGACCGAACAGAGTCGTAAAAAGGGCTGGTGTGTGTGTGTGTGTGTGTGTGTGTGTGTGTGTGTGTGGGTGTGTGTGTGTGTGTGGGTGTGTGTGAGTGCCACCTTAGCAAGGGTTTCCCGCCTCGCTCTCCAACACATATTTTCCGGTGTCGGAAAATGTCGCCAGATGCGAGACGGAAGAACACGGGGAAATGAAGCACCCAAGCGTGGGCGAGTCCCAGTATCAGAAGGATCGACGGATAGCAGCCCACACACACACGTTACATATTATGTACATTAAAATCAATATATATATAAATGAATAACACATTTCTACAGCAAGCTCCCGTATATTATAATTTTACCGATTTTTGGGCCATATATTGTTGCGATTGCGATGGGAAAAAGAATGGGTCCTTCTTATGAAACGAAATAGCATTGTTTTTCACGAATCGGCCAATCCCCGGAATCCCCATAGAAAGTTTCATTTAAAAAAAAACCGAGCGATGCCAGCGTCCTCAACGAGTTCCCGCCGAAGCCTCGTCACCTCGTTTTATTTATTTATTTTTTATTTTATATTTTTTTTTCTGGAGACAAGCCGGGATAGACTCCGATTTTTCCGCTGCCCTTTCCCCTTGTGAGGCCTGCTTTTAAATTCGCTGTGCGGCGACATCTTACAAGTCGACCGACGAATTTCGCGGCAAAAAGGGAGTGTTGCTTTCATGCGTCGCAGTTGCATTGGTAGACAGCAAAAAAAAAAACATTACATGTGCGTTGCATGTTCCCTGCATTTTTTGGAAAAATCTTCTTTTGCAATGTGGAAATGGAACGCGTTAAATTTTCAAGAATCATCGATAAGAGTAACGATCCATGCGCACAGAGGAACGGATGCGTATTTTAAAAGGTTGTCCACCTGTCGAGGGCATTGGAAAATGTGGCCACAAGACATGGGATGAATAATTTATGGAGGGCAAACGAGGAACGATTGTTGCATCGATCCGGTGCAGCCGGATGCCCGTCATCTTCGCCTATTGTCTTCATGTACCGCCGCAGCGTTCTCTCTTCGCGGGGCAAGAAAGGGAGGCCCGAATCCTCTCTTGCTTACTATTCCCAGAGTCACCGGGGCGGAAGGGGTTCTGCCGGATCTCGTTATTCGCGGAAGCGGGCAGAGGTTCTTCTGTGAGACCCCTTTTCAATTTTTACTTCACTTCCAACGCGTGGTGCTATTTCGAAGCTCCTCAGTTCTCATTGTCAAATTGACAGTAGTCTCTCCGGTGCGGTACAAAAGAAAGAAAGAAAAAAGGCTCCTAGGGGATAACGGGAAACCAAAGTCTTCAAACAACGGTGCAAATAGGTGAACACACTGGGAATTTTTTTTGTACCCTTCACCAAGTGCGTGCCACTGGGGATGAAGCCTTACCCGAAATGCGATAGTTCCGAATCTTGTCAATAGGGACATCACCGCAGCGTAATTTGTGTGAGGGTCATGTGATTTGTGCAGTGCTGCTCCCGTTTTTGTCTTCTCTGAACCAATGTCGCAGGGATGATGCATGTACCTGCAAAGCTGTATCATCAACGTATTCAATTCTTCCAACACTACTTCTGGGTAATATGAAACTCATTTAATGGTTGCATGACATGCCCGCATGGCAGGAATTGCTACTCGCTGGATTTGTGTCTCAATCTGGTTCTCGTGGCTGCTCAACTGGGCCATCGAAACACTTTTGCTTTGGCTTCATAACATTCCTGAGGGATATTTACTCTAAAATTACCCTGTATTAGAATGAAGGGAAGACAATGACATGAGATTTGTTCCGGCTGCATGATGTGGAATGAAAAAGGTCTCTGCGTGTTTTACGTTTCATAGAACCAAAGAATGAAGCGTAGGTTCTGCGATTTTGTAAAATGATCGACTGCCAATGTAGCTCTTTCAGTCGGTTCCATTTAATGGAATGCCGCTTAATAGAATATTCCTCTCAGCATGAAATAATTAATTGAACATAATTGCAATTAAATTATTATGGTGGAATAGCTTACCAGGGACGAATAAACCAGATACACAATGTCGTATTCCATTACAGATTTAAGGTGAATGTTCCATTAAGTTATATTTCATTGAGTCCTTTTCATCTGGAAAATAGGAAATGAAGGAATGTGTTCTTGGGTAATATCCTTCACGTCTGGAGTAAGTTGTGATATGAAAGGCTGAGAATAAACTAATGACATGTTTGAAACCAACTTTTCCAATGTAGCGTTCCTTAAGCTACTCACCTTCATCGAAGCATTTAAACGGTAGCTATCTGCATCACACATAGACATCGTCTAATTTCATTCCGTTTTCGACTAGACATTGAAAGTATTTTGTTGGAAATGTTTCTGCTGCTCAAATTTTACGATGGGTTCGCAGTCTTGTGCAGATTTCCTGAAATCCACAAGAGATCGTGAAATTACGTGACGTTGAGCTGCTGTTGGCAGTTTGAACCGAGAATCATCAGATTCCTCGATCAATCGATTTCGCTCCCGGCTTCGAAGCAAATGGATGAAGAACTCCCCTCCCAAGAGGACAAAGGTAGGAGTGAAGGAATATGATTTTTTTTTACCTTGTAAAGGACGCAAAGAAGCTGGAATTTTCTCGTGAAGGTCATCTTAGACGGAAGAAGACAAGGCGGGCCTGGAACGTAATGAAGGCGATTGTGATCCTTGGATGTACAGTGCTGGCTCTCGAGCAGGTGAGTAACGTGAATATCCGGTAGCATAAATGAAATTCGTTATTGAGAGGAAAATACGAGGTGGTCATTTCTTTCTCATTAAGATGTGGATTCCATTGAGTCTTTGTGAATGAGCAATGACAAAACAATGCATTACTTTACTGAATCGACGTAGAAGTATCGACATGACGCCGATGAAAATGGCTTCTAAATGCAGCACGCCAGCCAACATGCCATAAACTTGACAAGACGTGGTTTTCTCTTGTTGTTGCCGACCACTCACATGTGAAACTAAGAAACTCCCAGATAATTCTTGTAAAACCATTTCAAAATTCCTAGTCATGAACGGAAAACTTGAGTGAATCCTTAGGTGGTTCGATGGTAGAATGCGTGCATATAGCACGAAATGCAACGGCGCGGACCTTTCGCAGGAAAAGGTTCCTCTGGGAGACAAATTCCAAGCCCAGTTTTCAATAAATATCAAATTTTATCAATGGGTCTGTCCGCGGAGTCGAACGTGACATCCGGAGTAATATGTTTAGTTTACAAAATTAATTTGTCAATATTGTGGACGACAAATCGGCATATAAAGGCTGCAACAATTTTTTTGTGAAGTCACTGAAAATTCCATAATCCAAAGAATTGCACTCTCTCTTTTGTTCGAGGTGTGCCTACAGAATGTGCAAGGAAAAGTGTCAGACGTGACATTGTGAACCTTCAAGTTAAAGTCACTTGCTCTAATCTTCACATATCTGTCATCAAGCGGACCGTAATAATTTAGTTTCATGGTCATTCTAGAGATTGAATGAGAGCCCGGGATTAGTGTAAGTCACCCCAATATTACAACGCTTGAAACAGAAAGTAAGCCTATTTTGTGACGGTGTCGGATGCAACAAGTTCCGAAAATGTATTTTGAAACGGGAAGTTTGTACATATTTTTTATTTCTTTTTAAAGATATCATTCAAATCTGAACAATTGACATCTACTATTCACACCTGAGCTGATTTGAAATTCTCATTATACATGGAAAGCCCATGCTGGCATCTGTTACAGTAGTCAAATTCAGTCTCTCCAGATTTGCATTTTCATCCCATTTTTGAGTAATACGAGAATGATAAAATATATCGTAATCATGACTAATTCTTTCGTTTTTGGATGCAATATTCTCTTTCATTCATGTCATCTGGGAAAAGAGATGAACTTCTGTAGTGAAAGAAACATTTGCATACTTAGGATAATATCCGGGAAAATTCCGAGGACCACTTGGTGTGGACAGACACCACTCCGATAATATTGAAAATAAGACTTGCATCAGTTTCAAACTATCTATTCATTTCCATGCCTCTATTTCGTGATTATGGATGAGGAAAACTAATAGTTGCAATACAGGTGATGCTCCTGATAGAAGAATACCTTTCCTTCCCTACCAACACGTTGTACGTTATCGAAGATGTGGAAAAGATACCTACACCAGCATTTACCTTCTGCCCAAAGCCGTCTGTGAAGAGCCGCTTCCCACCGAATCTGAACTCATCCTATAAAGTAGATGCTTTTCTCGGAGGAACGACTTTCGCAGAGAAATTCAAGCAACTCGCCATTACCTTGCATCAGTTGATCCGTGCACCACACAATTCTGACTGGTTGGATGATTTTGAGTCGTCAACAGTGAATGGGGAGACGATCAGAAGTCTTTCCTCAGGTAATCAAGAGCGAATTCCGTTTGCTTTTAAAGTAACTGAGAATTGATGCATATAAAATTATCAACGTTGTAAATGTTACATCCAATTGGTATAGGGTATTGGAGTGAGCGAATATTTCTTGGAGAAAATTCTACCAACAATGATATGGGTGGATATCACTATTTCATGTGCTTTACGTTCCATTGGAAAAAGAAACTTTCAACTGGATCAAGATCTTGCAAAGAAAACTTTTTCAAGCTCAACTTCGAGATGATTACTGACTCCGTGGAGCAGACGGTGGGAATATATTACTAGTTCCTGCTTGCCAAAGGAATTATTTTGCAATAAATAAATTACTTACGCATTAAATCTGCCCTTCACATATCCTTGTATGCTTCCTACAGATTGAGGTTTATGTCCATGATGCGAGGGAAGAATTCACAAATTTCCACTTCTTTGATTCCGAGCAAGTGATTCTCTTCAATGACTCTGTCACTCGTCTCTTCATCCGACCTGAAGGCATTCAGAAACGCAGCAAAAGGACAGACCCCTGTATTGATGATGAAGCCTACAGTTACACAAGGGTGAATAGAGGTCTTATAATATCAGGAATACAAATGAGCTTCCATTCCCCTGCTGAAAGAACTTCACTAATATTCATAAACATCATGAGGTCTGCATATTCCTCATGAGGATTGTGAGGTTACTTATGAGGCTTTGAAGCGTCCTCATGAGAATTATTAGGGACCTATGTGGCCTCTGGAGGATCCTGATGATTATGAGAACCTCATAAGCTTCGCATGAGAAATATGTGAAACCAATTGAGACCTCTGTTTGAAAACCTCTTGAGGATATCATGAAGTTTTTTCAGCAGGTTGTGCATTTGTCTTAGAGAGTCAATATATCATATATTCCAGTGCAAGGAGAACTGCATCTGGGAGAAGATGCTAGCGAGACACAACTTGAAGGGACTGTCGTGTTTCATGCCGGCCCTCCTGACCAAGGAAGTCAATTTGACGATTCTGGAATGCAATAACTGGAAAGATGAAACAAGCAGTTTTTCTCAGGTAAGAGACGCCATCGCACGCTCGTCCGACCCTACTTTCCACGTTGACTGCAACTGTCCGAAGAGGTGCAACTTGACGCATTATCACCTCTCTACCGATTTACCGACTGTGTGCCAAAAGGAGATGAAATTTGCCACAGGAGGAAATGCCTATCTCAGCATTAGTTTCCCATCGAAGCGTGTTGGTTTACAAAGAATCTATCGTTCTCTCCTTTCTCTCATGAAGTAAATACTGCATGCATCGTTGAATGGTTCCCCAGATCCCTCACTTCTTAGAGAAGGAGAAGGTGACTCTGCTAGATCTTCTGTCAAGCATTGGAGGAATCGTCGGGATCTGCCTCGGTGCATCCCTCGTCACGCTCTTTGACATCGCCGAGATGGTTTGCTCACGCATCCCCTGCAGGTTTTTTCCAAGGAGAAATGAGGTCGTTGCCACTGGAAACCACTGATCCAAGCAAATATGTACTGATTCTGATGTATTTATATGCAATGCGCTATTCCGTCGTCACGCATTCACGAAGGTTCAACGAATTTTTCAGCTACAACGAGATGTAATTGGAGTACATTATTTTTAATATAAAAAAGAAGTCCTTAATGATTACTAAATAATTAATGAAACTCCATTGTTACCTTAACTAAAAAGTAAAGAACTAGGTTTCTCTGAAGGTTTAAACTGCATCGCTTCTTAAGCACCTGAATACCCTGTAAGGACGCATGGGATAAAAACCTCTTTTAAAAGGGCGGGTGGGAGGCTAGTTATTTATTATTACTAAGTAATTAATCATGCTTCATCAACACTATTAGCACTAAATTCTACAATGTTGCACTTCACGCCCAGTTTTAGTCTCCCTATGTTTCATTCTCAGCGTTGGTTTCAGGAGTAATATCGACAAATTAGTATCATTCAAATCTACTGGAATCGAAGAATACACTGAAAATATTCCACTTTTTTCGAACATCCGTCTGCATTTAGTAACTTGGATCTCCGAATATACTACTCCTAGAATAGCCTATACTACTCTTTGGCATGAGCACTATATGCTGCACATACACTGAGCCATACCATGACATGCGTTTGTACATGTTTTTCCTCTCACGAAAAAATGTAACGGGTACTATTGCACCTAGCATTAAAGGCATAGACCGAGGCCGAACTTTCCCACATAAACGGAGCAAATTAAGACAGATTCCAAATACGATCAGTGATGAAGAAGACATGGGGCATGGGCTGCGCCAAAGGCAGTTACAAAGTGCGTTTTAACTGTGATTATTTTCCATTGAGAATATTTTTTTTAAACAGCAATCGTCATCCAGTGAACAAAATCGAAATTCACCGTCTAATCACCCCGTGTGTACATGGGCTTTCGACTAATATATATATATAACTGTGAGATTCTTTCGTCAAATGAATGGAAAATATTGCATGAGTTCCATTTTTTGACTAGATGAATTTGACAACAAAGATTTGTCATCAGAAGTTAATCACGACCGGTTTAGTAACAAAGCAAACGCGACGAACATCAATCTAGCGAACACCTGAAAACATCAAAGTTAAAGCATATTTTACAAGTTCCGGCAAATGAGTTCGTGTAGGCCCTTGTTCTTAATGAACTGAAAGAAATCTTAATGAACTGGAAGAAAGAATCAACAATACTCTTCATGACGCACCTCGACATATGTTACGATCAGCAGTGGGAAACATACCTGCTCACTTAAGGAAAGGTGTTAATAATGAAGGAGTATATATGGAAGTGTGAAGTGTGGACGAATAAAAGACTCAATAACTGGTGCATAATTTGTAGTTTGTTTCATTTAATTGCGTTAAAAAATGAAAGAGTTATAATAATTTCAAAATAAGAAGTTACTTATCACACACATTGCAAAAATGGCGCTAAAAGAGCCCACGCCATTAAACTACCCAACATTGCTCTAAATTGTGAAGTAACGCACGAGAAGCTCGACCACAGCAGACAACACAACTAAGAGTAGGAGAGAAGTAAAGTGGCTGGATAACCAGCACAGCCGACTCCAAAAAGTAAGACAATGCATTAAAAAAAGAAGAATTAATAGAAAGGAGCCTTTGGGATCTGAAAGAATAGCAGGATACTCATCAGGGGCACGGCTCTGCTCAAACCTTCCGTGTAGAGAGATCTTTTTCGAAATCTCACTATAGCCAAAATAAGCTAGAAGAAAATGAAAGAGTACAGCTGAATGGTTGTTGGTTGAAAGAAAACACAGCTTAAGCCATTCCTAAATCACCATGAATGCACACTCTATTAGCCAGAGAAACTTACACCCATGCTGCAAAAAGGCATCCAGTGCAAAATGTCCAGCGAGAAAGGAATTATCGATGCTACAGGAAGTAGACAATCTCTAATGACATCCCTCTGCAGAAATTAAGCTCAAGAAGGATCCGCGCCCGAAAGATCTATCCAAAATACATGTGTCGATAAGAAAGGAGTGGAGAAGGAGAAAGCTCCGCAAAACAGAATGAATTCACATGATCCTATTTACCCAGTGAATTCTGACTTGGGTGTTCTAAATCGAACTCAGTATGGAATAATTCAAGCGTAACGACTTTTTGCGAGCTTCTTACGCGCAAGTTACTGAAAAGGGTGGAAACACAAGAGTAATGCCGGCTAAATGTGCAACGTCGCATATATTCAAATATACACATCTAGAGATACCGAGGGTGTAACGTAGGGGTGAGCAAAATACGACCCGCGGGCCCTATCCGGCCCACCAAACGATTCCATCTGGCCCGCCACACTGTCCAGCAAAATGAAAAATTATAGTTAGTTCAGTCCCAGAACGGACCAGTTTTAATTCACCAAGAAACTGAGCTCCTTCCTTTGTCGCAATTGGCCCTCTTTAAATCCCTTTCCTCTCTTCAGAGAGTTGTTTCGACTATAGTCTTTCTAGAATGGCGCTTTCCTGGGATTTTTAATTTGACCACACGGATGTTCTGTACCACACCAATGCAAGATGGCTGAGTTCGGGAAAAGTCTTAAAAAGAGTGTGGTCCTCTCTCATCATTAATGATGAGAGAGGACCATGTGTTGGGACATACAGAGGAACAATAAGTGTGCAACCGGTGCAAGTCTTCCTATCATCGTGAAAAAGCCTTCGTCTATTGTTTTCATGCATCACAAGGATGACAGCCTTCTCTTTTCTTTTTCGAACAGAAGAAAAGAAGGATGGAGTTGGGCAGGGCTTCCTCCTCCCTCTATTCGTTTTTCACGGACAATGGGAGAAGGGCTGGGTTTGCCACGATCCGATAAGTCCGGTAGAAGCCTTGATTCTACGCCGTTGCCTTACATTTTCATGTGATATGTTAGGCGAGACTTCTTCCCTTCTATTTTTATGAAGTATGAGCGGTTTGAAGGTTACAGGAAAGCATATGCTTCAAGTAACGAGTGAAATCGGGTTTTCCACTCTGCTTGAGTCATTGATGAGCCGAATAGGGAACGATTGAGCTCGTATTTTTTCACTTTCGTTGGACTGTCAATTTTAAATGCAAAATTTTCATATACCCAGTGAAATTTTCTTGCGTTAACAACTCGGACAATTATAACTTCATTCAGATCACTCTTATCCATTGGATAGCGCAATCATCCCAACGTAAATGTCTGGAGTAATCTTATATTTTCATGCTTGATAAATCTTTTGGGATTCTTAAAGGATTGTTTTACTAGGTCATAGAAGGGATGAGTTGAATCATCTGGAAAATGATGCAGAGCAAAAGTACATCAATCCAGAGTAAGTAATATGATTTTCTTCACCTTCCGCATCAGCCAGTTTTTGGATTTCATGACTTTTCTCTTGACATTAGCGACCACGTCCGAGGGAACACACTTCCCCAACATGCGAGATATTTTAAATCTGGTTTTAGGCAGAGAATGCATAATAATAAGGGAAACAGTGCTGAATACCTGCAGTACCGGTATAACTAATCGGGGAAACGTCTCCTTTCATCCTAATTAACTACATTTCCTATCAACCTTCGTAGGACCATCATATTTCCTCCGTCCCGACCAGTTAATTGGCACGAAAAGTGAAATTGAAATGTGGAATCTAAGTTGGCGATGGCATTTGCTGTAATAAAAGTAAGCAAATCCATTCACTCGCGCTAGCAGGCAGCCACACCTCCATTTCATTGCATTTTGATGCACAGGGTTTATGCACCTTTAATACATTTAGGAAGGAAATGCCCATCCATCACCGGTTTCCGATTCAATCCCATTAGTTTCTCCATTGAATCGTTCTCTGCTCGTCTTGAGTTAAATACAAGAAAATGCAGAGAGTCATTCGTTTTGTCAACATCATAATTCACAGTACTGTGAATGCTCACGAACCACAGATGATATGAATGATTCCGGACGTACTTTTTATCCAGTGCTCCGTGAAATAGGCCAGAGACTGTAGGGGTTTTTCACTAACGTCACACGATGACGTTTAATAGAGGGGCGAAGAGCATATCGGTCATGCTGGAGAACAGAGGAGCGGTAGTTTCGATTGATAGGCGCATGTTGCGGGTGTGTCCTCATCACGTCTGCTTCATGATTACAAATTTCCCTGCCTATTTTGAGACACTAAAGCATGACACAGATTAAATTGCACCGATTTCAAAAGTCGATAAAAAAATTAAGACAACAATTTTGAAAATTGAAACTTATATTTTCGGAAACTACAGAGTCTCAGAATTCAAGTACATAACATCTTAGTTCTTCATCTCTCCTGTTCTGATGAATCTGCGGACTTTTCCTTTGATCGACGCCATCATCTTCTGCGCAGTGTTTCGATCAATCTTCTCGACGCTGCTTTGCCAGTGGTAGAGTATTTGTCTGTCGTTTTTAGTTCCATGGCAATTATTTCAGTAACTACTAGTGCTGTCACAAATCTTTTTATATTGACCAAAAGCTGAATGTTTAGGCTTTACAATGAGGGTAGTTTAAATAGCGATTGCTTACGTATAAGGTTAGGCGGGAAATTTGAAATCGGTGCAATTTAATCTGTCATGCTTTAAAAGGCACAGAAAAAGACTGCTATCTCGAGAAGATAAAAATTGCGAAGACTATAATCCTTACACGCTCAAGCCATGTGATGGGTTGGTGGATGATCCCAAGTTCTGGCCTAAAATGCGATGCGTTCCATCTTTCGCAGTCTGCCAGTCACGGCGAAATTCTTAAGGTAATGTCCTTGACTGGGCAACGTTACCATGTCGTATCTTTTCAACAGAATGTCAGAGCGTTAAAGGGTTGTTTCGAAAAGAAGGCATGCGAAAGAAGAGACTCCACACAACAGAGTCCACGATAGGAAATTCAAACAACAGTATTGACTTCTCTCTCCCGTATTAACGCTTAAAGCATCACACGCCATGTATTGCTTATTCAAGGCATTCATTTGATCAATCATAGTGCCGGGATCTTGACATTATCGGCAAAAGCCCGAATATG